CTCTCTCTCTCTCTCTGGAGAACACTGAATGATAAGGCGGGCAGTATCTCCTAGAGCACACACTTTAAGCTACGGCCTGAGGGCTAGTGGAAGGCAGCCTTGGAAACAGGCGGGTGAGAAAATGCTGAAGAGAGCAGAGACCCTCCAGCACGGCACTCCTTTACCACCACGGCTCAACGCGGGGCGAGGCAGGGCCCGCACAAGCTCAGGAAGGGGTGCACACCTTTACAACTTAGTAACACCTCACTGTCTGCGCGTTGGAAAACCGAACTTTCTTTTTTAATGAAGTTTTTTTAATCATTCTTTAAAGGTTTTCTTCATTTCTTTTGAATGCTCTATGTGCACGCACATCCACAGGCCAGAAGAGGGCACCAGGTCACATCATAGATGGTTATGAGCCACCATGTGGTTGCTGGGAATTGAACTCAAGAGCTCTTAACCACTGAGCCATCTCTCCAGCCCAGCAAACCGAACTTTTAAGGCTTCCCAGAAGCAAGTAAACAGACCCAAACTCGGTATGGCTGACACTGAAGAAAGCACAGTCAGCAGGAAAAATGATCACGGTATTTAATGTACTTCAACCGGGCAGCCTGGCCAGGACTTCCCTCTCTTTCTAATCCCTGTAGACTGGACGACACTCATCCAAAAGCTCAGGACAGGGTCTACGAGGCTTCCTTGAGATTTAGCCTCCAGGCCCACATCAAATCCATCAGTAAATCCCACTGGCTTTCTCGTCAAAATCCACGCTAGGAGCCAAGCCACCTTCTGCACCATCACCATCGCCTCACTTGGAATACAGCCTCCAAATGTGTCCTACCGAAGGGGGTTCATTCAGCACACGGGTGCCAGGGATCTCTCACAGGTAGAAATCATACTACATCACTTCTCTGTTCTACTGTGACCCCCAGCTTCTAACAAAATCCAAGCTCAACGCAAAGCCAAACGCCTCCAGACCCCAAGGATTCGGCCATCGCTCTAAGATCTTGCTCTTTACTCTCACAGCTCTCAGAGTGCGCCCACTTCCTTGCTCATGAAGACCCTCTTCAAAGCTTGTCTTCCTGTGGCGGTCCAAACGTCTCTTCCTATGAGAGGCCTCTCCCACTATCTGACCCACGCGTAGCCACTTCCTCAACAGCACATCATTTTCAACTCTGCTTGCTCTTTGCTCCTGGTAACAGAGCCTTACTGTAACTGTTTACCTGTGCACACGCGGGGTGAGAACTCACTGGTTCAGCACTTTGCTAGACCGTCAGCTTCTGCAACTGTGCCTCGCACACTCGCACTTAGGGGAATAACAGAACAGAATGAAAGCTTGGAGACAGACACATCTTAGGAGTCTGACGAACCGCCATGACATGTTAAGGACGCTACCGTTTCCCTGTGATCTAGAATTGGTACATTTTCAACAAGGCAGTGGCAGGCGCGGCTTGCTGGGAGCGGGCCTGTGAGAGCATGGGCGTAGAGCCGACCCCGCGGCGGGCAGGCCGACCCGGGGGTGGCGGCGGGGCGTGCACGCGGCTCCCGTCGCTGCGCTCACTCTGGCCCCACGTGTGCACCGCCTCGGCACCACAGCGTTCGCCCCACGCCACCCCGAGCCCCTGGCTCGCGCGTGCAAGTGCACGACGATCTGCAGGGAAACGCCGGGAGGAAGGTCGCGGCGCGCGCCCCCCTTCTTCCCCCGAGCCCGCGGCGGCGCGCGCCCCCTTCTCCCCCCGAGCCCGCGGCGGCGCGCCCACACTCACGCGGGTCTGCGGTCGGAGCCGCGGGCCTGGCGACGGAGGAGAAGGTGCGCAGGCCGCGCGCCGCCGGGCGCAGGCTCGGCCTCAGCCACAGCGCCGCGGCCGCCATGCTGAAGACCGGCGAGCCAGAGGGCGCAGGCGCCGCCGCCAGGGGCGGGACCGGAAGCGCGTGGACCTGGGACCGGAAGTCCCCTGGGCGAAGGCTTGGCGGAGTAAGGGCTCCTGGCTGGCGGGTGTGGAGTGACGGGCTCTTTGACTCTGCGGTCTCACTGTCTACGTGTGCTGCTCTGGTGGTTGTTGTTTGTGTGTTTTAAACGATGGCTGCTCTAAGGCGGTTTCCTCCTGTCCTCTTCAGTTGTGTACTTTCTGTCTGTTGGTGTTTGCCTGCATGCCCACAACAGCCAGCCGAGGGCATGGAGTTAGGGACGTTCCTTGTGGGTGCTGACGACCGAACCTGGGTCACACAACCACTGCTCAGTGGATGGCCTCCTCTCCAGCCACATTTTCTCTTTTTTCCATTTCCTTCCTTCCTTCTTCGTTTTTTGTTGTTGTTGTTTTCTCTCTCTCTTCCGTTTCAGTCATCCTGCCCCAGTCTCCCAAGTGCTGGAATGGCGCAGACCATCTAGCTTTATACTTCATATATATTTTAATGTGTGTGTGGCCGCATTACTAAGAGAAGAGTTTAAGGGAGTTAGTTCTTTTGGTCTCTGCCACCACCACCACCTAGGTTCTGGGGACAAAACTTCAGTGGTAAGGCATTACTTGCAGCCCTCACACTTCTTAAATGACAGCAGTGAAGCAGAAAAAGGAACAAACACCAGCGGTATGGGGGTAGGCGGGGAACGACACATCGACACAACATGTCTGGGTCCCCAAGCAGTTAAAAAAAAATGGCCTTTTGAACTAGATTGTTTGAGGTTAAATTTTAATTTTGACCCTGTCTTTTCATGTATTATTTTTGCAGAGGACCAGAGCTGGATTCCTAGCACCAAAGTGGAAAGGCTTACTGTTAGGAAACGTGCGAATGTGAAGGTTACACTCGGGTTCACAAATCACGCCGCGAGATCGGTTCCACATGGGAGGTTTATTAGGGGAAGGGGGGAGCAGGGAGCAGAGACAGAGAAAAGAAGAGAGAGAGAGGGAGAGAATCCGGGAGCAGAAGAGGAAGAAGAAGAAGAGAGAGGGGGGAGGGTTCCAGTTCTCTTATAGGGTGATCAAGGGCATACGCAGGTAATTCCAGGTGGTCAGGGTGTCTTTACAAATGCCTGATAACCGGTCTATCAGGTCCCTTGGAGCTGGCCATAGAAGTGCCTGCTTACTGATCCCAACATTCCTCCCTTTTTCTATAATTAAAAATAGGGAGCTTGGGCTGCCTTTTATAAGGTAAGTTAAACTATATAAATTTAGGCTCATTGGAAGCAGCTCTTGGTTGTCATGCAAGAGGTTGAGAGAGAGAAGAGTTATAGTGACAAAATGGTCAGGTTGTAAGGTTAAGAATAAGAGAAGTCTCTGCCCTGGAAAATTTAGGGCAGAGGGTTGGCAACAGTGTTGCCAGCCATGCAAGGCATCGGGGAAGGACTGGGGAACATTGGGAGAACCTGGAGCTGCTTGTCCTGGTCCTGAAGCACACCACTTCAGCCATTTGTTAACAACAAGTGAATAACGGGCGTAGATTCTCTTCTGGCTACTTCCTGCTGACACTGGGGGCGATGTAGGGAGGTCAAAAGGCTGAAGTGTCAACCAAGTCCAGGAAGAATAGGCTGCTTTGATGCTTTTCCAGGTCTGTGAGAACACCCATGGCTGGGAGGGAAGGTGCAGGTCCAACTTGTTGGAAGTCTGTGAGGTTGGAGTTGAACACCTGTAGCTGCTTTGGCGCTGTTGTGGCTGTAGGAAACATCTGTGTCTGGCAGGACACTGAAACACATATATAGGCAAAAGATAAAGTTGAGTATAGAGAAAATCCTGTAGGTATACATTGAAAGGTTTGGATCGATGAAGCTTGTACATAGGAACCTCTGTCTACCTGGACAGGACTTTATTTACCCAATCACTGGCAATATTAAAGAAGGCTTTGTTTTTGATCTGTCATTGAGGTGACGTTTGGTTACAGAAGCGTGTAAACTTAGAGGCCCTGGTGCCAGCTGGCACTAGGTGTAGAAACCTGAAATTTTCCAGCCTGTCTAGAGGGACGGGCGTCTGGGCGTCTCCCATTGGGGGCAGAGAAGTCCCTATGTAGGGATGTGGTTATGGGTGTTATCCATTGGGAGCCGAAAGAGACAAGGCCTTCTAATGGCGTCCCAGGAGAAGGCGGGTCTCTGGAGAGAGCGATCCGGTCTGGTCAATATCTCGTCAGATATTGGCCAGGGATCGAGGGCCAGGTGCCCCGTGGGCCAAGAACACGTTTTTGCCTAGCTAGGACTTGGTGCACGAGCACGTAGAGAAAAAGAAATGCGTGTAGAAAGCTCCCAAGGGAAAATGAGGTGAAGAACTGTGTGGGGGACCTTCCCATGAGCAAGCGAGCGAGCACGTGCACGGGCGAGGGGGGGGAAGGAACCCGTAGAGGGGGTGTACCGCCCAAGGGAGAGTGTGGCCCTAAAGTGAAAGTCAGCATAGAGGGTCAAACCTAGACAATTAAGGCTACGGCTGGGGGGGGGTCCCCCGTCTCAAAAGATAGTAGGAAGTTGCCAGAGCTCTGTGGTCAAGCTTCCCCTACCAAGAGTCATGTATGCTGAGAAAATGGAGTGAACTCACCAATCTAGCCAGTGGTTATATGCAGTAAATAGCAGTCTGGTAGCCAGGAAAGGAAGTCCCAAAACCAGGGAAAAGGGAGGAGTCTCACCTTTTGAGATAGGCAATAAGTGCAGTACTTATCTGGAGTCTAGTTGTCCTGAGAGGTAGATTTAGGTGGACTTTCTGCAGCTAACAAGAATTACTTTTAAGTTTTAAGAAGGAGATAAAACTTTAGACATGTTAGTATTATGATTGTACTCTGCATTGAGAAAAAGGCAGTAGACATACATATGTGTTAACGGCATAAGTACTTTTTGAGGTGAACTCTGAAAAAGCAAAAGCCTTTTATGAAATAAAAGGTAAATTTACTTGATCTTAACCTTTAGTATAAGCATAGACATTATGGAGGCTTACAATCTTGAGCTTAGAACCATAATAGTGGAATAATGGTATAGTAGAATGTTTTTGTATCAGAGTCAGATTAATAAATTAGAGTTTTACTGATAAAGGTCAAGACTCTGGACAGTCAATACAACAGTAGCATAACAACAGAAAGAAATATTAAGCCTTTTTGCCTATTTAAGATATTTTAAATCACCTTAGACCTTGTAACCTTTATAACTTGCATTTACCAACCTTAAAACATTTTTTAGAACCTCAAACATTTATAAGTTGAATTATCAAACTTAAGACACTCTTTAAGACTCTCAAATGTGTGTAACTTGTATTTTTATAACCTAAACTCCTTTTATCCTTAGACCCTACATAAGCTCTTTATATTTTATCTAGTGATATATCTTAAACTGATTAGTGAGCTAACAGTGGATCTAATTGTCTGCTCTTTAGCTGCAAAGCTACCATTAGCTTAGCATAGCCGTCAAGGTGATCAGAGACCTGAGAAGGATAAGTTATGAGCTAAATAAATATACCAATTTATGTGCCAATCAAAATGACAGAGATGACTAGTTAGTCCATCACCTAGGCAGTGTCCCTGGCTCTTGTGTCTCACGGCATCCTGAACAGAGGCTGTCCAGCCAGGCACAGAAGGTGAGAGACTGCTTTTACTGCTTCTGTGGAAAGAGGAACAGAAGAGATTGACCTCACCTTGCCTCTCACAATGTGAGACAATGGCTCTTCAGATGTCCCCGGCTTTGTCCACAGTTTAGGCTGGGCCCTAGCAGTGGGCCAGTTGGGAAGTATTGTCCAGTGGTTAGCATACCACAATCCAGAGTCGCAGTCATCTGTTGTTGTGCCCAAATCTTCTCGGAGACCTTGGGGAACTACTGCCAGGATTTTGGGACTTTTTGTCACAATAAGCTTACACATGTTAAAATGTCATATTCAGATTTCTGACAAGCTTGAGGGCCAGCATATTTGAGTTACTGTTTTTATCATCTGCTCTAAACTGTGTCCTATAAAAACAGAATGCTATACTCTCTAGTTCTAGCATATTTTTGAGATGCATGTTCTAGAATTATATATTTTAAGACAAATAGGCAAACTTCATAGTTAACCATCCTAGGCTTAACCTTAAAAAACCTGAACAAAGAGACTAGGTAAGGCTCAACTGCAGTATTTAGCATGACTTTAAATCTGCTCTTTTTGAACTAAAATCAAAGCAAACCTTTTAATCAGATACAGTTTATAGAGAGGCTTTGGCTGAATACGTGTTTCAAGGATGGAAAAGAAAGGCTGAGAAGGCTGTGGACTCTATTTCTTGAGGCAAGGAAATGCCTGCCGCAGGGATTACAGGAATTCTTCCCGTTTTCCCCAGGACTCTGTGTGTGCACTTTTAACGAGGTTTGGAGGCTGCTGTTGCTTAAACTGGCGAGGTGTGTGTGCATTTGCACACTCGGCTATGTGGACAGAGAACTGGGCAGGCTCTTGCTCTAGGCTCCGCCTCCTGAAGCCATAGCTGTCTCTGTTCTCTGCACATCCTGCGTAGGCTGAGGGAGGGGCTCGGCGGGCCTGCAGTAGTGAGACACTGCAGACTCCGGACTTTAGATAATCAGTAGCAGCACCACAAGACATGTGTTGCCATCTTTGTTTTGTTTCTGAGACTATCCCAGGCTGGGTGTGAATTTGTGGGAAGTCTCCTGCCTCGGCCTCCAGAGTGCAGGAACGAGCCACAGTTGTCCTACTTCATCCTTAGCCTTTGAATGGAAAAACAAGAAGTGTCAGGTTCTAGAAAAAATCAAATGGTGCATTCCACGAGACAAAAACTAACAGTGGGGTAGGGGTGAGACAAAACAAAATCCCAAGGGACCCTAGGAAGTGACTGTGGTGGAGAGGAAAGGCGGGTCATAGAGGAGGGCACTATTGGGGACCCATTAGGTAACTATGCCTGGTTCCCAGAATAGGCTGGAGGGCTGGGATCATAGAGGAAGAAACGTGCAACCTGAGGAAAGGCAACTCAGGAATGGAGAGGGCAGGCTTCAGGTCTGATCTCTCCCCTTCCTCAACAACCGTGACAGCTAGAGGTCCTGGTATAAACTCAGTGGCCTTCCATAAGCCCTTCTAAACAAACGATACAGAACAGACAGGTTCCAGTGACATAGTAACAGCAGTTGGACTGTTCCTTTAAATGGCCACCCAGATGCTGCCTGGTGCCACCTGATGTTTGCAAGAGCCCTAGATTCCTAAACACAGGCCCAACCACGGCTTTGGGAAGCCCTGTCACAATGAGATGCACAATGGGGGTGCATAAGTGACTCGGTCCCTGGTGGGCCCCTCAGCTGCCCCCCAGCAGCATGGCCCATGCTTCCCAAGGGCTGCACACAAGGGAACGGGAAGGACGGCGCAGAGCATGAGCAGGAGTGAGGAGAGGCAGACAAGCAGACAAGCAGCTTCCACGCAGGGGGACACCCCTGTGACGGTGCTCTCAGTGCCTAAGGCTCCAACTCACCTGTGTTGCTCGTCAACTTGGAGCCGTAAGCGGAGCCTTGGCTCTGTTACCGGTCATGACTTGGGAGTTACATACACCAGACAAAAGAAACAAATGCCCACTTATTAGAGCCTCATATGCAGATCATGATGCCAGGACTTAAAGCAGCAGGCCCAGGAAGAGTGCAGCATGCAACAGCACCTACAATTCACCCTGTTAAACCCCCAAAGACCCTGAAGCCAAAATGCCTGCTGTGTGTGCGAGCACACACCTTACTGTGGATGCAGAGGCGGCCACAGGGGCTCTTCCCAGCTGACTGAGGAAATCCCCTTAAGTCTCTGTGGAGCTAAATCCTCTGAGGTCCTTCACATGCAGAATTGCTGGGAAGGAGCAAGCACAGAGGGGAGGCAGGCCTCAGAGGACCAGCGTGGGCAGCATTGTTTCAGAGTCCAGAGCCAGAACCCGCACCCCAAGTGTGCTCACACCTGCTCCGTAGCTGCTCCCCACAACAGCAGTAACATTCTATGCTCATAACTAAGACTAGTTCAAACAAAGACAACTTTTGTTTTGCAAATCAAATTTTATGTGTAACTTATCAGTTTCTCCCCCATTTTTTAATTTTTGAATAAACAAAGTCTAAATTAAATTGGTCCAAGAGACAGCTAGGGTTTTGTTTCCCTTCCCACAACTGTGACACCAGCAAGTTTTGACCCGGATCATTTCAGTTGATGTAGGGGTTCCCTTCTGCTCCTACAGGTGGATCCCAGCAGCATGCTAATTAGAGGATGCTAATGTAGACTTTGCTCATGTCGCTCAACCCATCTCTTCTCCTCAGACAAGTTCCCAGCAGCTCTTTGATGGAAACACAGTCCTCCGTCTCCAGCACAAACTGCTCCACGGCCTTGCGTCCTGGCACACAGCTCTCCACCATCCGGCTTTGGACACTCTCCAGGATAACGCCTCTAACGGCTTTAGGTTCTCCAGGCACACCGAAGACAATAAACAGACCCAAACAGTCCTCTCCGACCAAGTTACAGAACTCTTCCAGCTTCTCAAATCTGCCTTTTTTCCAACACTCCTCTCCCCTTGACTCACAGGTCTTTGGATCCCTCAGAGGGAGAGAAGCCATCCTCAAGGTCTGCACTGCCACCTGAAGCCGGATTCGCTTCTCAGGTCCCCAGAAGGTCCAGATCCAGTCTGCTCCGAACAGCAAGGCCTGGTGCTTAGTCATCTTTGTGGTGGTGAGCCACTCGTCAGCCCCCCTTTCCTGGCAGAAAGCAATGAAGTGGACAAGGAAGATCTCACTCAGCGTGCTGGCTGCAAGGCAGAGTCTGCTCAGCGGATACTCAAACCCGAGGTATTCCTTCAGCTTCTGTGCTGCGTGGGCCGCAGCCACGCTGACCACCTCACTCATGGCAAGGACCTCCTGGCTGTCCTTCGGAGCCACCTGCTGGGAGGCCTTCTGCCCCATCCCCACCCTCGAGATGCTGCTCCGAGCAGTCGGGCACGCGCTTCTCTTTCGGGGGAGACTTTGTTTAGTGAGGCCACCTCTGTTAACGCTATGAGCAGCCCTAATGCCACGCTTCCTCAGTGTGGCGAGCCATATAGACCTGAGGTTGAGCAAACATGAGGGAGGGCCCCGTTTGTCAATGGGGTGTGTTGTGGGCACACGGGTTTCTGCTGCCTGCCAAGTGACACATGGTAATTTCACACGAAACACCTGTTCTTCTGCAGGTTATGCACAGCTGCTTTTGCTCTCTGGTAAGCTCTCCTAGATGTGGTTCCTTTTTCCAAAAAGCAGCCAAATGAAAACCCGTATGTGAATGTGGAGGTCAGTCATACCCCTTTGTCTGCACCCAACACCTCCAAGTCTGTGTCACCTCCGCTTCCTTTTCTTCACTCCTCTGTCCTGAACCCTCGCTCCCCAGGTGTGTTGCTTGCACTTCCTTCTCTGTGTATTTCTTAGGCAGAGACCTGCATTTGTCTGACTCATGCTGTGAACCTAACTGAAACACGCAGGTTTACATACAAGTGTCTGTTACTATCTCTACAGAAACCAACCTTTGTTATTCTGAACAAGGGAACATTAAATAATTAAAAACACAAGGCAATGGTCAATTGACTTTATTTCCTTTCATAATGCCAACGGTGCATAATACTTTGTAAATAAAATATATAATCAAAATTCTTTAACTTTTCCACACATCATCAGTTGTTACACTGTCCTTAATAAAGAATATTTGGCATCTGCAACAGTCTGCTGGTATTTTCAACCAGGGTCTAATAACAAACCGAGCTTTCCAAATGGTGAGACTTAATGATGTTAAACTAAACCCCAGTACAGGAAGGAGCCAATGCAGTTATGAAATCATGAATGGGAGCATTCAAAGGCATCACTGTTACCATCAGATCATTTTAGTCATGACCTGCTGGGCACGTTAAAGGACACCGATGCTCTGGAAATAGCCATCACCAGGTCTGCCTCCACAAGCTCAACTGCCCTCCTGTCTCTCCCTGAGCGCGTGAGCGCTGTCTGGACACAGCTGGTCTCGTGTGTACCCCTGAATGAAAAACAGATTGTCTCCAACACACACACGTCACAGGAACATGCTTTTCGCTTTCTTTGAGCTTTGTGTCACAGAAAACACGAGCAGTGTGCTATTGCACAGGAAAACCATTAGAAAACGTCCTGTAGCTCCAGAATATCTGGGTCCGGACTGCAGGGACATGACGCCCCACCGGCTGGCAGGCTGAGGGTCAGCTACCGTTGGCATGGCTAGGCCGACTCCTTCAGCGCAATGATCAGTTTTTGGTTTTTCCTGAGCCACTCTAATAAACACTTTTCTGAGTGGATATGAGTGCACCCAAAGGAACCAAGATGATGTGGTAACACCCTAAACTTCTTCTTTATGAAGCAAATGGAGTCAGGATTAGAGGTGAAGCTTCTAAGCTGCTTGGCAATTTTGTGACAACCAAAGAAGCAGATCACTTTGGCCTGAATGATGACCACTGTTAGAATTCATCAGTGGATAATGAAGAAGGGATTAGCTGGTGTATGAACACTGAGAACAGTGGGGTTTCTTTGTTTTCAATATGATCTTTTGATCCTTGTGTCACAAAATAAAAGTTCTGTTTTCTATAGACGGTATATATACACGAATTAGAAAAATATATAAAAATAAGACAGTAAGAGGCCAGTGGAGGTACAGCTGCATTTGGTGACCACTGGATCTGGGCAGCAGCTTCGGCTGCGGTGAACACTGATGTGGCCAGACCCTCCATCCGAGTGAACGCAGCGTGAACGCAGCACTCTGGGAAGCAGCCAACCAGAAGGCAATCCTTTCGGTGGCCCCTACCACAGGCTTACATTAGAGGCAGAGCAGGCATCCGAGTGCCCACCAAGGCAGAGCAGGCACCCGAGTGCCCACCAAGGCAGAGCAGGCACCCGAGTGCCCACCGTCGCACTTCCCGCAGCATCTTCAGAACTGGCCCCACTCCCCTGCAGCAGAGTCCCGCTTCCAAGCGGGCGGGAGTCGTAACACTAAACAATGCACAGCCTGTCACCTGGATACACGATCTGAAAAGCGGAGCAGGAGGATGACACTCGTGCTCCCGGCACTGGCCCAGGCCCTCTGGTCAAACGTTGGAGTCTTCATCTGTGATGCTGGCACTTGGTGAGCGAGCAGCAAAGTCTTTAAACATGTCATCCTCCTTTAACATGTGCTGGAACGCAAGGACAGAGAGTCACCCCGAGAGCCCTGACTCAGCACCGCACACCTCTGCCAGGCACAGAGCCGCCTACAGCTTCAGGTGCTTTCCGGTAACCCTGCCAGTCCACTGCACACACTCACCGTCAGGTTGTTGATGCCTTCGGAAAACGCGCCTATCTGTCTCACCGTCCCTTCCGAGTCCTCCATCTGCAAGAACAGCCATAAGGTGACAAACTCACCTGCACAAGGTCAAAAGCGCACGCAACCGCTGACAGTCTAGGCAGGAGGACCGGAAGCAGCACCGAGTGCAGAGGAGCAACAGGGCAGGCTGGTGCCCACGTGTCCCTCCACGGTCTCAGTCAGCACCAAGGGAAGGCTCGCCGGAGCTGAGGACAGGGCCGGAGTAGGCAGCAGCCCAGAGCTGCTGAGAACGTCACCGCTTCATTCTCAGGCATGCAAGGCTGGCACACTGATCAGTCACGGTGTGCAAAGCTCCCGGCAGTGTGTGAACGGCCGAGCTCCTCACCTGCTCCAGCCGATCCAGATCGTCCTCCTCGTACAGGCGCATGTCCACGCCTGCCCGGAACCCCTTCTGCGAACCGCTCCCTGCAGCCTGGCCCAGCTCCATCGGACACACATATTCCTCCCCATCTTCATGCTTCTTCTTCCTCAGATTCCCAAAGTTCGTAAAGGTCAGTTTCTTTGGCTTTAAAAGCAAACAAAAACACACCCAGAGATCTGATAAAAAGCCTATGACAAAGGACTAATAACACAAGAGGTAAGTACTCACTTCGATGACCGAATTGCCACAGGAAAGCCAGAAGTACCCCAGTGAGCAATGTGACCAGATCCATAAACGGTCTTGATATAAGTCTCACTGCCACGCCACAGGCTAGGCATGTAAATCCCTTGTTTGGACGAGACAAGACTTAACTCAGCGGAATCCCTCTCTGCGATGAGTGCAAGGTCAGTAAGAGACACTGGCCCTAACTGCTGAGTGCAAGGTCAGTAAGAGACAGTGGTCCTAACTGCCGAGTGGCACATGGCCGCCTGCAACTGCGGCTACTCGGAAGCTGAGGCAGGAGACTCACAAACTAAAGGCCTGTGTGGGCAGCTTAACAGGAGCATGACTCTCAGTATAAATAAACAAATAAGACCAACGGCAAATGGAGACCACAGGTAAAGCCCTTGGTTAACAGGATTAAGACCATGGGCTCAATGCCACGTTCAGTGGAGAAGAGGGAGGGAAGGAGAGAGGCAGGAAGGACAGCAGGCGGTAAAGCTGTGACCACCTTGTTATGCTGCACGGGGGCTGGTGAGTGGGAAAAGAAATCACCCCCTGGAGAGAAAGGCCATCTCAGTCACCCCGAAGTCTCCACGCAGAAAGGATTCAAGGGCAAAGAGGGCTTGGCAGATGTACCCAGCAGACAGCACTCAGAAACTGTCTTCACATCCAATTCATGCAGGAGTAACTCTACAGGAGAAAAGTGACCTGAACTGGTGCAAACCTCAAACCCTGTAAGTAAAACACCCTGGGGCCTGCATGTGCACCTCAGACCAATCTTGAGTCTGCAACCCTCCTGCCTCAGCCCCTTGTATGCTGGGATTACAGGCGGGTATCACCACTTCTGGTTCTGACTCTCTCTCTCTCTCTCTCTCTCTCTCTGAGTTAGAGATGGATCTTTATTTTAAAACTCTGATCTACCAAGTTAGCATTTTCCACCAACCAGGAGCAGAGACCTTCACAGGCTTCACAATCTTTTCTTTGGGTGCTGCCTTTGTGGGGGCCTTAGCAGAAGCCATTGCTGTCTTCTTTGATGCCTGCTTAGCCTTTCTTCCCCTTCCTCGGCAGCCCTGATAGCCTGCTCTAGCTGAGCTTTCCTAAGTTGTGGTTTCTAACTCCTCTTGGCCATTACACCAGCAAGTGATGCAGAAGTGAAGCCTGCTGGGATCTGAGCGCATGGCAGCCTCTTTTTTTTTTTTTTTTAATTTCTCCCAACTGTCCTTTCTTAGGTCTTCTTCTGTGGAGGACAGTCGGAATGTGGACTCCGATTTTGCATTAAGAAGCTGAAAAACCTTCCCATGGATTCTGGCATAGTGCTGCCTGTGTCCTGGGAAGATCTTGAACCTGCAGACACTGCACAGCTCGACCATCTGTCATGACAGATGCCTGCCGGCCAGAAGAAGGAATTTCTCCCCTCTGCTTACAAACCACACAAGCTGAGCATGCACAAGGACAAAGCTACTGGCTCAGTTAGCACTGGAGACCAAGCCCCGGCCTTGCGCCTGCATGTGTTCACAACTCAGCTACAGCCAGCCCAGAGCTGCTCAGGCCTACTGACCAACAGGAAACGCAAAGCCACTACAATGGCAAGCTGGGCCCGAGCTACAGCCCTCAGCACTGGCACTGCGCTGGCAGCAGAAGCCAGTATCGTGTTCTTCACCTCTACACAGAAATGACTTCCGCAGAAACTCTCAAACCTGCAGTCCCTTCACTGGTCTTGAAATGTCTAAGCATGTGCACAGCAGATATGTTTTTCTTTATATTTATTTTATATTTAGTACAGTTTATTCACTTTGTATCCCAGCTGTAGCCCCCTCCCTCGTCCCCTCCCAATCCTGCCCTCCCTCCTCTCACCTCCTCCCATGTCCCTCCCCCAGTCCACTGATAGGGGAGGTCCTCCTCCCCTTCTATCTGATCCTAGCCTATCAGGTCTCATCACGACTGGCTGCATTGTCCTCCTCTGTGGCCTGAGTGGCTGCTCCCCCCTCAGAGGGAGGTAATCAAAGAGCAGGCCAATCAGTTCATGTTAGAGACAGTCCCTGTTCCCATTACTATGGAACACACTTGGACACTGAGCTGCCATGGGCTACATCTGTGCAAGGGTTCTAGGTTATCTCCATGCATGGCCCTTGATTGGAGTATCAGTCTCAGAAAAGACCCCTGGGCCCAGATTTTTTGGTTCTGTTGCTCTCCTTGTAGAGCTCCTGTCCCCTCCAGGTCTTTCTATCTCCCCTTTCTTTCAGAAGATTCCCTGAGCTCTGCCCAAATTTTGACTATGAGACATACAGACATCTTAAACTCATGAATAAAACTGGCCAATCTTAGAAAATGGAATCTTAGAAAACGGAATCACAGAGCCTTGGCAAACAATGCAATGAGTAAACGCCAAAAACCTGAACCAACCTTCACTTTGGCAGTAGCTGTTAGCAGCACATAATCTGGCAACTCCATGGCGTCTCGCTTCTGGTGCTGGGCCTCAGCACCAATCAGGAGGTTGAAATGGGTAGCCAAATGTCTGCGCAACAAGGTCTTATTTGGTGGAATGTTCAGTAACTGAGCCATGGTTTCTACATTAAAACGAGGCTCAAGAACCTGCAAGAAATATCTGGATTGGTAAAAGGTCATACTTCGGTGAAGTGGAAGTACTTTACAGTTTGCAAAACTCTTTCATGTGGGTAATACCCAGGAGCACTATCACCAGCCCAGGGTACAGACTCTGACCTTTTTTTTACATTTTTCATGTGTAAAACTGTTTGCCTACACGTATGTATGTATGTATGTACAGCACGTGTGTACAGTGTCTGTGGAGACCAGAAGAAGGTCTCAGACTACCTGGAGCAGGAGCTGAAGGCGGCTACTGGCCACATGTGGGTGCTGAGAACTGGACCCGGGGCCTCCTCAAGAGCAGCCTGTACTCTGAGCTGGCTCCAGCCTGGACTGTGACCTTTAATTCACACATGACCACGCCTGAGTCAGTGGCAGGCTGGTGTGCAACCCAGGCTGCAGGAGGCACAGCAGAGGCCGGTCTTCTCGCTGGGAAGGCTGCCTCTGCACAGGACTACTCACAGAACACTGGTGTGCAGGACTCAGTGTGCAGGAGTTTAGAGCATGGCCACCGCTGGGCTGCTGGCCAATAGTGAAGGGCAACAGAAAGACAGGGACTTAAACCTAATCAGAGAAAGACACTAAAAAAACGCCGTGCAAGTGAGAGGCGGTGCAAACGTCTAGGAGGGCTGGGTCACCTCGAGATTACTGCACACTGATGTGCGAGGAGTGTCCTTTCCTGCAACGCTAGAACCAGTGCTAGAGTTCAGAATGTCGGCATGAAGCCATGTTGTCTCGGGAGCAGGGCCCGAGTTTCCACACGGATTCACTTAACCTGTGCACACAACCTCCTGGTAATGAGTCAGCCTCATGGATGCGACTCTTCGGCCAGGGCAGAACTTCCCACTTGTGATGTGGAAGCACAAAGGCCACAGCTTTACAGCAACGCAGACTCTGAATCAAGCCCGCCCGCCCTCAGCCTGAAGGAGACCAAGCGAGCAGCCACTCCGACTGAAAGAGTGCTTTACCATGAGCCCTCCATGCACACCGCTGCCTCTGAGGTTGGGCGCATACTCCGCCAGGTCCACCGAGCGGAGCCACTCCATCACACGGTGGTTGGTCCACTGCTGAACCTCTGATGGTGTGATGCTGCTCTGTGGAGACAGACACACGACACGCTTCAGGTGCTGCTGGCAGGCCCTGACTCCACCTGCACGTGTAGCTACCGTGCGCCCCACGGAAGCACACCATCTGCTTCCCCGTGAAGTGTTCAACGAAAGGCAGAGCAAGTGCTGACGTGACTGCTCTTTGGAAGAACTTAGAGCACAGACTCGAGCATTCTTATGCGGCAGTGAGAAGAGGTAAAGGAAATATTTACGGATTGAGGTGGCAGAAAGAAGTACAGTCATGAGTGGGAGGAAGCAATAGGAAGCAGAAAAACAGCCTTGGGCTTCAGTGGCCCAGCAGAACCTTTACGAAAACAAAGGGAGGGATGCAGGGAAGCAAAGCCCAAGAAGCCAGGGGGTCCGGGTCTGAGGCTTGGGGGAAACAGCTCTTCTGCAGCTCCAAGAGCTCTCCACACACGAACCGCTGAGTCGAGTGTGCAGAAGCATGTCTGAAGCGCTACCTCATCGGACGGCCGCCTCCGCAGGCAGTTGGGCTCGAAGTTGTTGATCCTCAGGACCTGGATGGCCCGCTTGATGCTGAGGTGATGCAGGACACTCACGACCTTCAGGGACAGCAGGTCATCCTGCAGAGGAGACACCACAGCTTGCTGTGCTGGCCCACAGCAGGAGGGCCTCCTGCACAACCCCAGCACTGCGTCACACTGGAAATCACCCTGCTTGTGATTTCAGGCTTCATTAGGAGAAGAACTCCTTTCCTGTTCTCAGCAAACCCTCTAGAACCTCAAGCGCACACTGTTCCCCTATCAGCCACACCTTTCTCAGTCCCGCAGGTGTTTGAGAATCCCAGGGCTCCGAAAAGTGCCCACCAGTCACTACAAGAGACAGCTTGTCCTTTCCTGGGGGCAGGGGCAGATGGGGCCTCTTCGCAGCCAGGCTAGCCCCAACTCAAGACACTCCTGCGTCTGCCTCAGGAGCTGCTGATAGGCGCCGTGGTGCTGCTGGGCCTTGAGGCATTCCTGCTTCCTCCTTAGTCCCCAAGTGCAGCAGACACACACAGACCTGCGGGCAGCAGCCAAACTGCCCTTCCCCTGTCTCTGCACACACTGAGCGAGAGCGGCCTCCTGCCAGCACACTCACTGGCTTTGGAGGCCCCTGCTCGCTCACTCGCTGGCTGCTCGGGTTGGTTGCTTCACCTAGCAGACTTGGGGACCATGCTGAAAGAACCATGCCCCTCCATGCAAGGGAAGACTTCTAAGTTTCCACACATGGCCGATCAACTTCTTCAAGGGAACACTTGGGCAGTGTGAGGCTGTGGGGGGCAATTTCAGACATGCCTTACACACCTACAAATTATCTCAGCAGTAGGTGATTTCAGGGCAGCACCGAGATAAATCTCCTCAACACACCCAGAGAATAAGCACAGGGCTGCCCATTCGGGCACACAGCATACCTGTTACTGATAACACATTTCTCATTAAAAAAAAAAAAAAAAAAAAGTCAAAGAAATTAACTTACTGTACAAATGTTTTTAAAAGTAAAAAAAATGTTAGTGGTTTATTCTTGAAAGTACTGAGCAAAATTTACTTCCTAAATTTTTCGGACAATTAATTTATTAAAATTAGTGTCTTATGATAAATTAGAAAAAGCAACATATTTTAATCTAAAACTGAGATACTCCTTCCAAACATTTCAGTATAGAACTTAATTAAAGTCTGTCAGATCAAGAAACATCTACCTGTATAATGTTTCTAATATAAATTAAATGTCCATTACTTCTGAAAATATACTGAAAGATTTTTATGAGGATTGCTTTCACTTGAAACCCTTTTTAAGTCTGGGCTTTCTGGCACACACCTCTAATCCCAGCACTCAGGAGACAGAGGCAGGTGGATCTCTGTGAGTGCAGGCCAGCCAAAATTGCAACCAAACCAAACCAAAACTACTCAAAAAAAAAAAAAAAAAAAAAAAAAAAAAAAAAAAAAACACATGGTTATTTTTAAATACTTTCAGATTTAAAGATTTCCAGATAGCCTGGAGTTCTATGTGCATTGTATAGTTTCTCTTGATCTTCACATCTTATGAAACTACGGTACACATCAAAATTAACAGATAAGAAAATAAAGTAGACTTTAGCTTTTGCTAATTTTAAGGCTTATTTATTTTCATTAGTGCAAATGTATGGCGTGTGTGAAGGGAAGTGCATGTACACACACACACACACACACACACTCATACTCACACACACACCAAGCTCTCTCTCTCTCTCTTTCTCTCTCTCACAGACACACACACACACACACCAAGCTCGCTCTCTCTCTCTCTCTCTCACACACACACACACACACACACACACACACACACACGTCAGAGGACAACTATGTAGTCAGTCCTCACCTTCCAACTTTGCATGGGTCACAGGAACAGAACTCAGGCTGTCAGTTTGCAAAAGCACTTTCACCTGCTCAACCATCTCACTGGCTCCCAAATTGGTTTTACTTCCTGGTTTTTGCCAGTTTCTTGCTAAGAGCTTTTTTCTGCTCCTGGAGCCGATCCAGGGGAGCACACTGTGCCAGGGACTTTTGGCTTGGCACCCAGGTCACCCTTTCAGGGTCACGTGATGTCCTTCAGGCACGAAGCTCTCGTACCAACTGCCACACTGCACCAGCCCACTTCCCAGGAAAGGCGTGCTCGGGAGCTGCTTACCACGGTCATGTAGTGCAGCATCCGCCCGTCCACGCGGCCTTCGTCAAACTGGGTCTTGTACTGCGGCAGGCCAATGTCATCCAGCCATCCTGCAGGACAAAGGCCAGTGTCATCAGCCACACAACGCCCAGTCTGTGACCGGGGAGAAATCGGGACAGCACTGACTCTTTCTCAAGCATAAAGCCTCTTACTGGTGACCCAGTTGAAGTCCAGCTTTCCATAGTTGGTTTCCTCCTCAGACCCCAGGGCCTGCAGGGCCAGCTGGAGCTTCTTGCGATGCAGTGACTGCTTGATGCCCAGTTCCTGAAACGATAAACAGACAGACCCGCAGAGGCCTCCGCTGAGTGAGGGCTGGCTCCCCTGAGAGAATGCAGCTTCCTCCACAGGGCGGCTTCCCTCCAAGACCAGCTCTTCATGCCGTCCCAACACCTCCTCGGGCTCATAAAGCCATTCTACATTGAGTTCTAGTAGGAGCCTCAGGCCAGCATGCCATGCTGAAGAACAGCCCAAGCCTCCCACAGTGGGCTGTGCGGGATGCTAGACACTGCCTAGGAACGCGTTTTATTTTTAGGGAAGAAACCACTGGATGCATAATGGGGCTCTACTCCTACTTTGTGTACAGTGTTCAGTACAATATAAAATACAGCATTCTTTGTTGAAGTGCATAGATTACATTGGCTAGATATATCAATGTAAGTTTACAAAATGACTGACACATATGAGCTCTATTCATTTCATCAGACCCAAAGCTATGTAATTACATAAGCTAATACTTTTCAAGAAGAGCAATAGGAGCTCCACTCAGACTGCTTTGTTTCAGAGTAACAAAGGACCCCGCGTTGATACCCTAGTCGGGGTAGGTGAAGCTGGGTTTGACACTTGGGCCTCACAGGTGTCAGCCAGGTGCTCGCCTGAGCTATTTACCCGGCTGGATGCACACCCCTCCTTAGTAAGTACATCAAGACAGGGCAGAAGCGTTACCTTCTCTAGATCTTGCTGAGAAGCTTGCAAGAGCGTCTGGCCAGATATAATCCAGTGCTTCCCAGAGCTGAGGTAGGAGCCCAAGCCCTGCTCTGCCAGCCAGCTGCACACCTGCTCCTTGGTCCATTTGGCAAACGGCATATCCAGGTCACTGTGGGAAAATGAGCCACCACCCTGAGCCAGCCGGGCAGCTTACAGTGGACAGGGAACAACTGTGCACCTAGGTAACAGGGAAAGTCCCCGGAGACGAACATTCAACCAAGAAAAACTTGATCTTTAGCCCTAGGTTGGAAAGTTACTTTCCAAAATTCCTGTTTTCAATTCAAAAGAAAGGATCAGTGAGAACTACAAGCGCACCCCACAGACAAGCAGCAAGACGAGCCACGTAGGTCAGCTTCCAGACTCAAACCACACTGTCCGAAGAGCAGGCTCCCAAGCTGAAAAAGACACTCAGGTAGAATGTGAATTCACTTCAGCAGAATGATGCTTTCTCTCTGGCAGAGAATCGCCAAGAAGATCAGACACCCCTGCTAAGTTCAGGAAGGAGTGCTCCACGCAAAATTCCGATTTTCCTTTACTGACACAGTTTGTGGCAAGAATTCACAGGTGACGTTCATCCATTTGTAAACATTTACTAATGTCTACTGCATGTGTGTGCACGCATGACAGAAACTGTATTTTTAGTAGCACAAGGGAGTTCCTTGTTGTACTTAGGAAGACAGATGGCAAGTGAGAACATGTTATCTGAAGGCCGGATGGACCCGGTGTCCAGGGGCCCTCCTGTGTGGGAGAGGCTGCCGTCCAGCTGATTATGCTTCTAACAGGCACCTCGCCCTTCGTGTTTACCAAGCCCGCCCTTTCATGTTCAGGAGGTCAGTGAGGTTGGCTCCAAACTGGTTCTCCGCCTCAGTAAAGCACAGGGAAAGTCCTTGGAGTCCTACCGCGTGAAACATTATATAGCCTTTCCTCCAGCTAGTATACAAGGCGTTCCCTCATTTGGTGGGACAACACGTGGTCCTGATACTCGGGAATTCTGGCAGAGTGTGTCCTTAGGTACAAAGACTCCAATAGTCGTCAGTGTTGTTAGACAGATACTGGACAGGTCAACTCAAGGAGAAAAGGGAAGCAGAGCACAGAGGAAAGGGAAGCATGGAAGCCACAGCTCAAGGTCACCTGGCCGGTGGACAATGACAGCAGACAACAAGTCAGAAAAGTCTGGCTCTAAACAGAATAGTTCACCCTTCCACTTGCACCTCTCAGTGCTGGAGCTGGGATCCAGGACCCATGTCTGCCGCACGAGGTCTCTGCTACTAATCCACAAGCCCGGCCCTTAGAACCGTTTTCTAACCACCAGGCCGCCCCATCTTTACACAACTATGCCTTCAGACACTCCTCACACAATTATTCTTGTATAACAATCAAGCCCAAGAGGAGCTGAAGCACACATCCCTAAGACCTCGTCACTAACCCACTGACAAGCACCTCTCCTCCCTGTCCCAGAAAGTTGGGGCTCATCTTCTTACCTGTTGGACTGTCCTAAATCCCGAGACCAACCAAGCCTGGGGCCCGCAGTTGCTCTTGTCCCTCCTCTTTTGAATTCAGGCTCAGACATGTCATCTGGGCTGAATGTAGTTGACTGGCTTCTCCTAAGTCTGAAGACACAAGGCACACAACCAGATGTCAGACCTGAGAGGCCTCTGTCTTGATGGTCAGGCAGAAGGCTTTTGTTTGTTTGTTTTTATTGTGTCACCAGCCCAGACACTGGAATTTAAATATTAACCAAGGCCCAATGCCTTACCAAATCCCGTGTCAGCCTTCCTAAAAGGCCTTAGGATTCTGTGGGGAGTGTGGAGGTCAGCCCTGTGGGAGCCCACGGGGAAAGGCGCCGACCCACCCGGACTCCCAGCACACTAGTGCAGTGTCAACATGGCTCCGAGGCCGGGGCCTGACTGCCTCCCTCTTCATTGTGTCTCCTGAGGTGACCTTGCCCCCACATCTCCACACTTCCTTGTAGTCCACCAACCTGACTGAGTGTGACTGGTGCTTGCGGCTGGCGCGGGATGGGCGGACTGGCCTTCAGTCGCACAAAGGCTGTTACACTGAGCAGTGAAGTTGGACCCCACTGGGAGTCTGCTCTCCGGAGTCTGGATCCCGGGACTGTGCGTGGGTTCCGTTTCCACCCCCCGGTTCCCCCAGTTCCTGATCCCCACAGGATTTGGTGCTCACTCCCAGCCACACCTCCCTTACCCGATGCACCTGAGAACTCTTGCGGCAGGTGCTCCCCCGCCCTTCCTTCCACTTACTTCCCAAAGAGTCTCATGAGGCCTCTGGACTTCTTTTTGGAGTCTGGAGATGGGGGAGACATCTGGAATGGGCTGGTCCCCTGGGAACCTTTTGGCCGAGATGTACCAGCCAGATCTAGGTGCTCGGCTGTCTCCTTCTCTGTCTCTGCTGTCCCAAGACAGGATAAAAACCACGTGAACACAAGTAAATACTAACCTGCTTGCTCTTAGCAACTGAAGTCTTCTCTGGGTCTGTAAACCAGTGACTTACAGACAGTGCCCATAAGTGTGAAAATGTATGTGATGTCCCCTAAGCTTACTCTCCTTCATAAACTTAATTCCACACTCGTAAATCCACCGGCCTGGAGGCTACACAGGAGGGGTGATTCTGACACAATTCTGAGACAGTCTCTCTCACTAAAATAAAGTGTCTCAGAACTGCTAAGCTCGTTATTCTAGGGAAGGAGTTTGTGAGGAGACTGCCCAGTCTAGCGCTAGGTCCAGCTGGTCTCCCGCATCCTCTGACATCACTCCCCCTCCTGCCATGACTCTCTCAGAGCTGTGCTCTGCTGGGTCCCTCTTCTCGCTCTCAGCAAGCTCGCCTGCTCTCAGCCAGCACCAAACGATGGCTTTCTGGTCACAGGCAGATGGCATCAGAACCTTACCTCACTCGCCAGTGTCACACCTCAAGTCTGTGCAGAGTTCCAGTTTAATGTGCCAAGAACAAACTCACCCAGCTTCCCTGAACATCCCTCTCAACTTTCACTTGGCACTGAATTCAAATTCTATGCCATCTTCTTCTTAACTCTCCTTTGCCATTTATGTCACACAGTTACAGAGGACTAGCAATTCTTTTTCAGGACACCAGGAATGGTACCCTGCACTCAGGAGGCCAATGCAAAAGAGCTGCAGCTCAAGGTCAGACCAGGCTGAAACTGAGCCTCTGTCTCAAGGGGAAAAACCCTAGCCTATTATGTACTGGACGCTGAGAGAATAATGCCAAGTTTGTGTGAGATTTTCTTTAGACACAGAATCAGCCCTTCTTGATTTGAAAGAGCAGCATCCAACCTTGCCACTGCGGACTTAGACTCACGCATGATGGAAGCTCTTTCAGCTGTCCACTCCCAGAACAGCCATGAGCAAAGATAGGGCAGGGCTGTTGTTTTCCGAAGTGTGAAACTTTACATTTTATACAGAGAAATAACCCTTGTTCAAAGACTCAGGGAAAGCGTCTGAGAAGGACCTGCAGAAGTCTTGAGCTGAGTTCTCTGTGGGCAGAGATGGAATTACAGGCCACTAAGCAGCACTGGCCGACAAGCACTGACCACTGCCCTAGCAGACACGGGAGCGGTTGAAAATAGTTGCCCAGCCAGGAGAGTTTAATTTATGCAGCCAGTCCTCGCTGCAGACCCTTCGGGCTCCAGAGAGAATGACACCACATGTGTCAACACTCAGGCATCTCTATGACAGAGCCTCAGGGAAACCCAGGGCGATCGGCCCACTCTCACTCCGCAGTCACAGAGGAGCCCTGACAATGTTCCTAGCCTGACTTTAAAAAGCTTATACTTGTTTTATTTATGTATTTCTTCAGAAGGCTTTCTTACAGTATTCCCCATGGACAGAATGAACGTCTCTCAAAAGCACTCGGAAGGAGAACGCTCAGGTACCATGTCAAGTCTCCACTGTCGCGACTAAATATCCCCAACTTCAAAGTAATACAATGTGCACAATGTTCCCCTAAGACCAGCTCCTGCCTGGCAACAGACACCTTTGGGGGAGGACAGGAAATGAACATAGAGGAGGGCAAGAGTTGGGGGTGATGGCTGAGTTGTGGGCCAAGGGAGCTGGGATGTTACGATGCCAGCACGTTGCAGCCCTGCGCCACGCAGGCTGCTGGGCCCTGCCTAGCACCGGTTAAAAGAGCACACAGGCTCAGAAGCAAAGGCTCTGTGGGGTCCGCTGTAGCCAGCTGAGGGGATGCTCTGGAAAGGGCTACATTTTCTGACTGCGGTCAGCCTGCTTGGTAGAGATCACAGAGGCCAAGGGCGCAGGTTAGACAGGCTGGAAGGCTGGCATGCGGGTACTATACCTAAGCTGGGTGCACTGGCACTTCGTTTACGGTCTTCAGGTATCCCAACAACGCACACAGCACACGCAGCCCAATGGAGAGAACACAGGGTGACAAAAGGAAACAGGTCAGCCCCGTCTCTCCACGGCACATGCCCCAGGAGGAGAACGCGCCCGCGCTAGACCATGAGGCTGCACAGGGCTCTCCAGCACAAGGGCAGACCGTGAACAGTCTCAGGGGTAGGCTGCGTGCATTTCTCCGCATCCCTGCACCGAGAGTGGCCTAAGAGCTGACTCACTACAACTCAGATCCCCTGAGGCACATTCGCTAGCTCTCCCCGAGACATTCACTTTCACCTCTGAGGATGAGAAGTGAACCTGCAGACGGACGAGGAACGGGTGGAATCAAACTTTCCCCTCCTCCCGAAGGTCAGGGCCCTGGTGCCCGAGCCACATACCGAGATTTGGTGCGCTGGCTGTCCTCTTGTTACTTTTGATTTTAAAAAAGCCCCGGCCAAAGGAGGACCTGGCTTTTCGAGTTCCAAAGGGGTTGTCATCCATAGACCCGTCAGGTGCCGGGACCTTGGGAGGCAGGGTCCCAAACGTGCGACTGTCGGCTGGAGCTTTATCCTGAGGGGCGACAAGGAGGTATCTGAGTGCTAGGTGTAGCATCCTGAGCACAGGCTGGCTGCACTCCCTGGACGGACAGCTGAAGTGACACACTGTGCCCAACACCAGGTGGCACTTTTCAAAAGCCTAAGAAATAAACAGCAATACAAAGGACACACGCACCTCCATCTACAGTCCATTCGCTTGTCATGTTAAATAGTTAAGACACCTTTAAAAACATTTTTTTTTTTTTTAATCTGCCTCAGTTTTTCAAGACCCAGAGTGGAGCAACTCCACACCCAGGTGGCGGGTTTCTTACTTTCCTAGCAATTATGATGCAGAGCTGAGGTGAGTTCACACGTGTAAGTCACCACCACAGCAGCAGAAGCTTAAGGCAATCCACAGCCGGCACTGGCCCACCGAGGAGGCCGTCAGGGGCGTCATACATTCTTGTCGAGGAAGATGAAGGTGCAGCCGGCAACTCTCCGTCCTGAGCTGCACAACTCTGAGGCGGCTGCTCCGCTTATGAGGAACGTTTCACTGCTTTAGCATCATGGTGGAGGCTTCTGGGTACTTTTCCTTTCGGGCCCCTGCTTTCTGCTTTTCCTTTACAACGCCAGTGGAAGGGTGACGGCTGGCTAACTGGCACCACCTGCTGCCCACAGTAACTGTGGTCTGTCCGCACGGCAGAGTCACTATCTACGGCTTCCTGAGTCCTCCTGTCACTTAGGGAACAGTGCACTGAAAGGGCCTGGCGACAGCTGTCTCCACCGCACTCACAGCCGGAACTGACCTGCCCCACTCAGTCCTTACCCAGTTCATGACCAGAACCCAGGGTGGGACTCAGAGCCTGCTTACACCACACTCGCGCCTACAGCCAAGGGCTTTACGAAGCAAACAGCAGGTGATCTAAGGGTTTTTTTTTTGCAGGCCTGAGGAAGGCAACTCCAGTAACAAAATGATCAAATCACATGACTCTCTCACCCCAGCCTAGCTTCCTAGTACCAGAGGTGAGCGTAACATTTTTTATTTGTCTGTTTATCTGTGTGCATTTGTGTGCGTGGGGGGTACACACGCCTCCGGAGGGCAACCTGTGGGAGTCCCTCTCCTCTTTCACCATGCGTACCCGGGGAATCAAACCCAGGCCATCCGGCTTGATGGCAACACCTTACTCATAAGCCATCTCAACTGCCCAAATTAACTTTTTCTTTCTTTTCACCAAAACATGCATTTTATTCTAGGCTGAGAGACTACACAGCACACATGAAGGCTGTTCAGGAAGGAGCAATGCATGAGGACCAGGCAAGCAGGACTGAGCAGAAAACTTTGGGACAAGCCCTTCCCCTGTATACCTGACCTTTACCCCTGGCCAGGTGCTGCCAGGGTACACAGCGGCCTGCACTTGCTCCATGTGAAGGCTTTGCACGTCGGTGTGTGAAGAATGACACACGTGTCAGGTATGCATGCGGGGCTTCAGGCTGGTGGTCTCTCCGTCTTCACTGTGTTCTTGGAGACAGAGCCTCTCACTGGCCCTGGAGCTCACGGACTGAACAGATGGCTGCCAAAGCCCGGGGTCCTCCCGTCCCCACCATCTTCCCGCACCAGGCTGACAAACACGTGCTGCCATGCCCAGTGTTCTATGTAGCAGCTGTGGATTTGAACTCAGGTCTTCACACTTGCAGAGTAAGCATCTTCTCACTGAGCCATCTCTCTAGCGCTAAGACTAACATAAGTTTTACGTTTCACTTGAAGTTCCTTGTCACGTTTTCAAGCCATTCTCCCACCCCCATTTCTTAGCAGTTCTGTTGTTCTGATGCCCCCCCTTTTTTTGTAGTTTTACCACCTACGGATGTCACTAAATAACACATTTATAGTCTGACAGGCTTTGGTATTTCATGGCCACATTCTGTTCTCTGAATTGATTTTGAAATTCACCTAGAACATGTGTATGTTTACTTCTTTTCAAAGCTACACACTCTTGCTTTGTGGCAGAGCTCAGCAAGGTGGGAAGAGCTGACAGTCTCCACACCAGTTACTCAGCGCTGCCACAGCTGCGACAATTGCCTTCAGCAGGATGGAGGCAGATGGGCGCGACTGTGCTGTACTCGGCCTAAATGGCAGCTGCTCTTCAGAGCACAGGCTGCCTCTGGCTCCTGAGAGCTGTGATGAGTCTTTTGGAGCAACGACCCATGTTATCTCCAGCTCCCTGTGCATCACTGGTAATTTGGGGAAGAAAGGGCATTTGGAAAAGCCAGAGAACCAAACACATAGCAGCCCTGGGTGAGACGGGGTGACCACGGCGCTGAGACTGCTCTAGAGTCCACGCACAGTCCGCAGCAGAGCTGCCAGGGCGGCCCTTCCTGGGGCCTCTGCTCAGCTGGTGCATCCAGGCCCTGAGCAGCAGGGACAAAGCAGCAGAATGCACCCCTTAGCCCCTCTGGACCAGCAGCACCCCCTGGTGGACAGCCTCTGGAAAAGCCTGTCCCACAAAGCTAATGCCACCAAGCTGGAAGCTCACTGGCGTGGAGCCCTGGCTTGAATGGAAATGAAGAGAGCGTAGGCACTGGGCCATCCATGTGTGTGACATCACAGGGGAGAGGTGACCTTCGGAGGGTTCTCCTGGGCTGGGCCGACTGTATTCTGCGTTTTATAAGGGTGTGTGTGTGCATGTGCCTGTGAGTGTGCGTGTGCCTGTCTGTGTGTCTGTCTGAGTGTGTCTGTGCTTGCATTTCTGTGTGTGTGGGAAGCAGGATTTTCACAAAAGGGTGTTGGTCCCATGGAGCTGGACTTCCAGCTGTTTGTGAGCTGGGTGTTAGGTTTGGATCTCAAAATAAACTTTGTTTAGACACGGTCTCACTATGTAGACCAGGCCTTAAACTCAGAGATCTGCTTGCCTTTGGCCCCCAGTTCTGAGATTAAAAGTGTGTGCCACCATGCCTAACTCAAAATTAACTTAAGAAGATGTACTGTGTGCTTTATGCATATGGGCATCTGTCTGCAGAGCAGAGGAGAGCATGGATCCCAGGGACTACGCTTAGAAACTGCCAGGGGGTGCTGGGAACTGCAAGCGGCATTTAGCACATCTGTGAATAGTAACCATCCATCGAGCTGTACAACACTGCCTCTGAAGACTTCTGAACGGCCTCCTTTCCCTGTTCACAGACAGTGACATCCAAGGAGGGCTGCTATAAATCCTTTATACAGTCGGTTGTCCCATACACTTTTATAAATAAGAAGCCATTTACCTCCCTTCTAAGCCATAAAACCTTAGTTGCATTCATTTCCCACATGGTTTATTAGTCTCGACTTTTTATTTACATATTTTCAGTCTTTTTTATATTTATTCTTGTATCTGCCATTAATTACACCATGGTAGCTAGTAATTCCCCATCAGAAAACCGTAAGTTCTTCCTAAAATGAACTTTTCCTGTGTGCAAAATGAGACAAAATGAAGATCTATCCTTCAGTATTTTCTTCTAAGGATAACAAAGAAAAAAAGAAGAAAGAAAGAAAGGAAGGAGAGAGAAAGAGAAAGAAAGAAAGAAAGGAAGGAAGGAAGGAAGGAAGGAAGGAAGGAAGGAAGGAGGGAAGGAAGGAAAGAAGGAAGGAAGGAAAGGAAGGAAGAAAGAAAAGAAAAGAAAGAGAGAGAGAGAGAAAGAAAGAAAAAAAAGCAGGGAGGCAAAACCAAAAGCATCCCACAGGACTCACCATGCCATCTGATGTCTCTTTCTTCAGATTTCCCAGGCTGCTGGATTTTGGCAGACTCGGAGTTCTAAAAACAGAAATGATGACAATTAAAATGAATAGTAAACTGACTCTGGTGCCTGTATCTAAGCAGATCATCTTAGAAGAAAACTAAAAATTATCTGGGGGTTGAATCTTGGTAATAGAAGAAAATCTGGATCCAGGCAAGCACTTTGTCTGCTTAAGTAAATTGCAGCATTTAGTTCTTTAAAAGCAGGGTGGCTAACTGTCGTGCCAACAACACAAACTGTCCCACACATGTCACAGTAGCTGGAAAAACACTTAAGGCTACCCTGGCACTATCAGGGTTTTCCATGGACCAGTGGCACTTACACGTTTACACTAGGAACTTCGTAGACGCCCATGCACTCTTCAGATCTAATCCATCTACTTAAAGAATGAAAATTTACTTTTCTCTCAAAAAGGAGTAACTTTTCTGGATCTGGCAAAGCAATTCACTTAATAGTTCTGATCAAAGCCTAAGAAGCCAGGTTTTGTGGGGCGCGCCTGTAATTTCAGTACTCAAGAGGCTAAGGCAGAAGAATTGCTAAATGTCTGAGATCAGCCTGGGCTATCAAGATAAGGCCTGTGTCCCAACATGAGAAAGAAAGGAGGAAGGAAGGACACAGATAAAGAGGGGAGGAGAGGGGGAGGCAGGGAGAAAAGAGGAAGGGAGGGAAGGAAGAAAGGAGTGGGGAGGAAGGGCAGAAAGGAAGGAAGGAGGGAAGGAAAACATACTATGGGAATCCTTGTTATCAACACAGTAATTCACTTGCTTGCCTGGGAAGGCAGGAGGAGCCTGTAAGTCACACACACTTTCTCCTTCGCATATCCGTGTTCAGTTACACAGAGCTGGAGATGCTTACTTGAAAACTAAATGCACGAATATAGGGCCAATTTCAAAAAAACGAGGGACTGAGGACTTCAGTGCCGAGTGTGCGGGGCTGTGAGGGGACTGAGGACACTTCAGTGCTGAGTGTGAGTGGCAGTGAGGGGACTGAGGACTTCAGTGCCGAGTGTGCGGGGCTGTGAGGGGACTGAGGACACTTCAGTGCCGAGTGTGCGGGGCAGTGAGGGACTGGAGACACTTCAATGAGGACCGTGCGTGGCAGTGAGGCCGATCCTCAACAAGGCAGGGTGAAAAGGAAGGCAAAGCAGAGAGAGAGAGAGAGAGAGACTAAAGAAGGAATGTGCTTACTCCAAAAACCAACAACTATGCAAACACACTTCTAAAAGGCATTTCTCCTGTATTTACGTAAGTTGTCAGTAGTACTGACTGCCAAAAACATAAAAGATAACAGAGGAGCAGAAACATCTCCTCCGAGCCCTGCCCTGGAATAGGTTTGCTGGTGGTTTGGGACTTTCCTAATCTAATCCAGACCCTGACTTGGATAAGCATTCCCACTCCTCCAGCTTACTAAACCGTAAGTGCAGGAGCAGCCCTGCCAGCTCTCACATTCTCAGAGACTCTTTTCTGTTGGAATAAAACATACAAATCAGCACAAAAAGTGACTTTAAAATGCTGAACTTCAAATGAAAACTAATGACAGACAGAAGACTAAAGATTTGCAAACGCTGGGCGTGAAATGGCAGGCCAGAGGCCATCTTTGTAAACATGAGCCCTCCTGCCCCACCTGCCATGACACTCGAAGTCCTGTACTCAGGGTTAAAGAACCTCAGTCGATCCTGTAGTAATGGTTACGTGACCATAGCAGCCCCCCTTCCTGAAGCCGAAGCACACCTCAGACTCAACAATATACGACTTACGAAACACCATCACACAGGGAGACTTCAGCGGCCACGCCCAGGATTGCTTTTCCATCACTAGAATAAATTTTTACAAAGGCGTTTGTTATTGTCATGAACTAAAAATCCCACAGACATTCTTGGGCTTACAGTGGTGAAGTCCCAGAGAGCACACAGGAAGCTCAAAGCAGTAAGTCAAAAGTGTCTTTTGCTTAATCTCCTCCAAACACAGCTTCGCCTGTCCTGCCCTGCTCATACTCACAGCACCCCACTGCCTACAGTCGGGCGAAGTTTCTCCACAAAGTCTACTTCAGGAGGGTGTGGCAATTACCTCGTACCTACCAAAAATGGTAGCAAAAATGAGCCACAGCAGCACTGAAAAGTCAAAACTCCCAAGTCAAGCCATCATAGATGGGACTGTTGTATATATTCTAAGTGAACAGAAATGTTTTTTAAAAATAGTGCAAAGAAAGCTGTTTCTAATTTTAAGCATTTTTCTAAGTCTAATTCAAGTTTAGGCAATTAACTTGAGAGTTTTCTGGCAAAATATCTATTTGCCTCTGGAGAAATGAGCGTGTCCCTGTTGTGCTGATTTCATGACCAAGTATAACTGCTCTGCTTTTACCTTCTCAGCCACCTACGGCCAAGACTGCAAAACCCAAGCTCCTTAAAGGCCCCGCTGGCTTCACCCTCATTTCCCCAGGCTCCCCCACCATCACTTCCTGATCAAGCCTTTTATTTCATTATTACAAAACTGATGATGACAACCATGTCTGTAAATAAGTGTGATATGCCCTTACTGTTTGTTGCTCAGTTTCCCTGAACATTTGTACCACAGTGTTAGTCCATAGGTCACATACTTCTCGTCAAATGACATCTCGGCCTTAGCAGGCAACTTCGAGTTTTCAGAAGTTTCTAAACCCATAGATAGTGGCAATAGTGAAGGGACTGAAGTCTGCAAGATGCTGGTGTGAAACTGTGAAAAAATATAAGTAAAAAAAAAAAAAAAAAAAAATCAATCAATCAACAAGCAAAACACAAGCCACAGCGTAAGCAAACATACAGACTTGGTCGGCCCCAAACACACTTGCACCGCTCGGCTGCTTAAAGACACACAGTGAACACACACCCAGCCAGCTACTCAGCAACAGTTCCCCTGAGCCACACCCCACCGACACACAGCCATGCCTGCCCCGAGGCCAGAAACCGAGGGGAGGTAAGATGAGCTCGGTGGCTTGACCAGCAAAGCTCAGCCTCCTGAGGAGGCAAAGGACTCGGCTGTGTGCGCGCTGCCGTTCCTGAGGGACGGCACCACGAAAGCGCAGACGACGCCACGTTGTAGCCCTGTAGAACAGGGTTCTTCTCTACATCCGGCCCCCAGGTTGGTTCTGGTTTGAATCTTTAGGATCAAGGCTGGGAAATCTCTTCAGCACTCACCCATGTTTCCTGAAGCTCAACTATTTTCCTAGACCCTAATCAGGGGGAAAATGCACTACCCGCCCCCCACATTTCTTGATTTTTTTTTTTCAAACTTTAAGGTTTCAGTTTCAAATTATTTTTTTTTTCCTCCTGGTTTTCTTCAAAAGTAAAGTTGAACTTATGAAAACTAAACATCATTAAAGTGGAATTCACAAGGGCTGGAGAAGCGTGGCCAGGAGCATTACTTGCTCTCCCAGCAGGCTGGAGCCAACTGCAGTTCCACAGGATCTAGTGCCCTCTTCTGACCTCTTTGGGAACTGCATGCAGGCAGTGTCCATACACTCTGGCATAAAATAAATACAGAGGAAGACACATAGCAACCACACAGGAAAACTCCACATGCCATACGCATAGAAGCAAGCCCTTGCCAAGTGCAGCAGCTACTGGCTGTCAAAGGAGGCGTTTTTGGAAGGCTAGGATAGGACAATCACTACCTCTATGATGGCCAGGACAACAAAGTGAGCCTCTGGCTCAAAATGAAATAAAGGGTTTTGTTGTTGTTGGGGTTTTCCCCCTACTTAGCAAGCAGGGAACTTCTCCTTGAACCTTACTTCATAATTAATATCTTGACTGGTGAACTATTCATCACTCTCCAACATTTAAGTGTGAAATGTTAGTTGTTTTGCTCAGGACTAGGGGTGTAGGTCAGTGCAGAGTACTTAGGCCCAGTACTACAAAGGGGGAAGAGTTAAAAGTGCCAGGAAAAGAGACTCCTCACCGGGCATTACCTGTTCATACCAGGATCGTGAACAACACATGTGAGAGAAGGAAGGCACTCGAGGTGGCGAAGGGAGCAGCTGTGGAGCACAGCTGAGCTGAGCAAGAATTCCCAGTGCCCGGGCTCTCCACACAGCAATTACGGTAAAATTAAGACGAGGCTTCAGGACAAGGACCAATCTGCACCTGGGGAACCCTGGGCCCACCAGGCCGAGGTGGACTGCAATAAGCCGCAGCTGTGGGCAGCCCTTCGGGAGCCTGGGCCCAAGAGTGTGCCAGGAAGGCGTGGACCAGCTCTGACCTAGTGCAGCGAATGGAGACTCTAGGAGGTTCTGACTGGTAAAGGTACCGCACCACCAGGCTCAATGGACAGGTACGGGCAGGGAGTAAAAGGTGCCTCCACCTCGGGCACTTTACCAAGCTGAGATTACATTCAGTGAAAATACTTAGGGGTGTGCTGTGCACACCTTTAACCCCAACACTGGGGAGGCAGAGACAAGAGGATCTCTGGAGTTCCAGGCCAGCCTGGTCTACAAAGCTGAGTTCCAGGACAGCCAGAGCTACACAGAGAAACCCTGTCTCAACTCCCCTCCCCCCAAAAAAAGTACTTAGAGGAAAAAGGAAGGGGACTTGGCCAGAATGATGAGCTGAGAAGCTGGCCTCCGGCACAGAAGTGACACCAGCTGTCTACAGGGTTGGACTGTTGGCACCAGGGACGGGCCAACGCCTTCATCTCTCCCTCCTGTGAAGCAGGAGTATCCACAGCAGTTCTGGTGTTTCTGCCTCACCACCATCTGGCTGTGGGGACAGCTTGTTTCCTTAGCTTCCCAGGTCTGTGTGCTGTCTGGAATGATAATCTAGGAACGGCCCAAGGGCCTCCCTACACATCAACATGAATGGACGCCAGCTCAGGGAAGGACATTTGGAGATCTTTGGGGAAGGGAAGGCTGCACTTCATATGAGGAGGTGTAAGTGGGTTCACCCAGGAGGTGAGCGGCCGCTCTGTGCCTCACTCCGTGCTCTTCCACTGTGACACCCCTCAGGCCTTAGGGGAGAGGCCGGCTGGCCTGTGGCTGCAGCAGGGACACTGACTGAGCTACAGATGACACCGATCCTCTGATCTTCTCTGGGTGCTCTTACCACAGGGCCAGGAGGGGACGGGGGGGGGGGTTCCCAGCCAGCAGGCTGCCCCCACAAGCAGCCACTGCCATGAGGAGCCTCCTGCTGCTCCTGAGCAGACAGAGCAGAGGCCTGGCCACCCTCTGCAGACTCCTCGGGAAGATGGCCATCGGGCCACAGCTTGGTGCTGCTGTCTAAGAGGTGATAAGCAGATGTTCTTGTGCCCTACGAACAGAAATGGACAAAGACTTCCCCGCCCTCTGACTGCTTTTTCCGTGCTTGGGTCGCCAGAAAGAATGACACTAGATTTGCGTACATGATCTTACTTACTGTCTCCTGACTTATTTGTACCCAATCTTTAAAAAGCAGGCCATCTTCTCATATTTTACAGCATCTACCTCAAAGACGCTCATGCATGTTTTGAGATGGGCTCCTTTTAGGCTGCTCTCAAACTCCTAGCCAAAGGATGCCCTGCCTCTTCAGCTGCTGAAATTACAGGCCTATGTCAATACATCTGCCTTGTTTTTATTGAGTTTCATAAGCAATCCGACTTTATCCAAAGTATTTATTAGAAAGAGGGTAGGTACACATTTTAAGAGGAAGAGAAACTGGCAGCCCACAGGAACTACCACAACAGACCAAAGGGTAACGGAGCCAGGAACGAACCACGCCGCTGGCACTGCGGAGTTCACAACTCGAGCACACAGCCCTCCAACACAGACCGTGCCGGGATGCCACACATACCTCTTCTGCGGCGCTCGTGCTGAGCGGGTCCCTGCCGGGAGAGCCCAGGCCTGGCGTCGAGGAGGTACTTCTCTCCAGGTCGCTGAAGCCCTGCCCGTCCAACAGGGTGGAGCTGGAGCTGGAGCGGAGCAGACCCTCACACTCTGCATCCGGGCCTGGAAGAGAGAAGCAGAGCTGCAGCCTGCTGTGGGGAGAGCGGGAGGGCGCACTCTCCTCTTTCTTTCCTTGAACACATGTACCACTGAGCTGCAGTGCCAGCCCCAAGCACACACAAACACGCGCCGTTCCTTCCTTGCGTCAGGTGTAGGTTGGCAACACAGACTCTAGGACACAGCATCTTCAACTGTACTCGACTAAGCCTTAGGACCGGGCCGCACGGAGGACCACCCGAGGTGGTAACAGTGAGTCAGGCTTCAGTCAGGACTGGACAAAAGAGGGTTTTTTTTAAAGAATTATATCACGAACCCACTGCAATTTTGTAAGTATTAGTTTAGCCCTATTTGGTGATGCATAACTTTAATCCTAGCACTCAGAGGGTGAGAGTAGAAGAATCAGGAGTTCAAGAGCACCCTCAGCTACACAGCAAGTTTAAGGCCAGCCTGGGCTACATGACAGCCTATTTCAAAAAGTTGTCTCTGTCTGTCTACTACCATCTACCATCATCTTCCTACCTACCCCTTACCTGTCTACTCTACACACCTACCCACCTATCCATCCCAGCATGACCCTCCGACTCTGAATAATGGCAGAAACACCATTTAATCACTCAACTTCTCATCACTGCCATGCTTTAGGAAATACACAAAAAGCAAAGCAGGAGACGAGAGAAGGAAAATGACAGCTAACCCTTCCAAATGGTCCCTTTATGCCATTTTAAACACAGAAAAGAAACCAAATGTCCATTAAAGCACTAAGCTGAAAGTTTTAACAGCAGTCACGATGTAAAGGGTTAACTGTAGAACACAATGCTCAACAGCCATTTTCTTAAAAATAGAAAGATTTTAAAAACTCTAATCTCTAAATAATGCCAAATTGCAAACTATATACTTATCTAGAGCTTTTAATGATGCTGTAATGTCTCTTGGTTTCTGTTTTGTTTTGTTCTCCCCCTGCCCCGTACCTCTCTCTCTCTTAAAAAAACTGTCTTGCTATAACATAGCCCAGGTTGGCATCAAATTCAAGATCCTTTCGACTCAGCTTCTCCAGTGCCTAGATAACAGGCATGACCAACTGTACCATAACTGTTTAAAGACGTCTTTTTTTATTTTGGATATGTGTGTCATGTGTGTGTCCACAGAGGACAGGAGAGGGTGTTGGGTCCCTGGAAACTGCAGTTATAGGTGGCTGTGCACTGCTCTGTGGCTGCTAAGAGCCAGACTCCGGTTCTCCTTCAGTTGAGGTTTTACTAGAATTTTATCCTAACTTTACTAGATTTTAGCTGTGGCTAAGAGTTTTGTGGTGAGTACCTAAGTAAATGTACGTTGTAGGGAGAAATCACTTTCTATATAACTCTTCACTGTATGGGGGCAGGGTTTTTAGGAGCCGGGAAAACCTATGTTACTATATTTGATTTCCAACCACAACACGGGTTGGAGAGGTTTGGCCAGCCAAGCACTGCCGTGTAAGCATGAGGATCCGAGTTCAGCTCTCCAGCACCTACACAAAAGCTAGGCATGGCCTGGAGAGGTGGACTAGAGCTTAGGAGCACACACTGACCATGAAGAAGGCCTGAATCTGATTTCTGGCCACTAAACTAGGCAGCTTACGACTGCCCGTTAATGCCAGCTCCTGGGGTCTGATGCCCCCGTCTGCTCTCCTCAGGCACTTGCACAAATGTGGCACATAGAAGCACACACAGGCACATAAACAGAAATAAAATAAATCTTTAAAGACCAGGCCCGGTTGTCTATAGCCTTAGATGTAGGAAGGCAATCCCTGAACTCCTGACCAGCCCATATAGCCAGTCAGTGGGCTCCAGCGTCAGCAAGAACCTATCTCAAGGGAAGCCAGTCATAAGGTTCATGAGTTGGCCTTGGTGTGCCTCACGGAATGTGAGCCACTTTTTTAGTCCTCGTGAATAAAAAGGAGAATGTCCACTTTTATTTATTTGTTTGTTGGTTTCAAAGTTCCTGGCCCAAAGCAGAGGTTTTTCCTTTGATTTGTTCTTTTCATTTGTTTTCTTTTGATTTGAATTGAAACTTGACCAGAATTGAAACTTGGGGTGCAGCTTGGTGGTGGAGCATTTGCCTGGCACTTGCCTAGTACTCACAAGCACTAATAAATTAACTAATTCATTTTAAAAACAAGATTTCAGATCCGTGAGTATTTCACAATTAACTCTTTGCTGGCCACTTTTTATGTCAACTTCACCATGGCTGTAATCATTTGGGAAGAGGAAATAGCAATTCAGCCAGTGCCCCAGCAAACCAGGCGGTGGGCGAGCCGGTGGGGCATTTTCCTGGTTGGTGATTGATGGGGGGCGGTCACTGTGTGGGGCTGTCCCTAGGCTGGTTCTGAGGATGTATGGGAAAGCAGCTGAGCAAGCCTCGGGGAGCAAGGCAGTGCGTGGCCTCCACGGCCTCTGCCTCCGCTCCTGCCTCCAGGTCCTGCGCAGTTTGAGCTCCTGCCCTGCCCTTCCTTTGTAGTGGGCTGTGCTATAGGGTGTGAGCTAAAAGAAAGGCTTCCCTTCCCAAGCTGCTTTCAGCCACAACAAAGGAAACCCTACCTGAAGGACCTCTCCAAAGACATGCTCTCGGTGCTGTTCATCTTCAGGTGACACCTCCCTCACGCTCACAGCAAACAAGCACTCTAACACTCCGTCTGTTCAAATGAGCCCCCCCTCCATGTTTGAGACCGGACATCTGCAGGTGAGGCAGAAGAACGGCTTGTGTCTGAAGACAAACGCAGACCCCCTTGGTCACCCGATGATGGCACCATCACATGCCCGGTGGCATTAGCCCCGAGTGCCGACCTCCGTTGATCTATTTCCCTTTGCTCCGTGCCCATCGTCTAGTTCAGCGACTCACAGCCTAACATACCTGTCAGTTCAGGTCCACCGGCCACTGCAGTAACAAGGCCTGCAGACTGGCCTACCCGCTCCAGACACTGGTGACCCTCATGACACCCTCCTGGCAAAGGCTCTGCTGCACACTCGTTACTCGGCCCTTTATCCAGGCTGTGGGTGCAGCTCAAGGGTAGAACACTCGCTTAGCACATGCAAGGCCCTAGTCACGTGAAGCCAACCTGACCTTAAGTGTCAAGCCCGAGGACAGTGGCTCTCAACCTGGGGGTCAAACAGCCCTTCACAGGGTTGCACCTCAGATACCTGCACGCCAGATATTTACCCGACAGCTCACAACAGCAGCCACTTTCAGTTATGAAGCAGCAACAAAAGTAGCTTTACAGCTGGGGTCAGCACACCAAGAGGGACTGCGCTAAAGTGCATGAGGGAAGCTGAGAGCTGCTGACCAAGGACCAACAAACAAAACAGGCCCTCCTGGATTCTCCTCTCTTGTGTAAGAGCAGATGGCAACCGGCCCTGCTCAGATTCCCCTCGTGTCGTCATGCCACAGCCTCCCCACCACTCAGAACCTCCAGGCACTCTGGTCTCTCTCCTGAACTCCCAAGGCTCTGTAGACGAGCCGTCTTTCTTGCTCCAGAGTGCTCTTCCTGGAACTCCTCGCTGATGCACACTCATTGGCCGGGTGCTCCCAACAGATCAGCCTCCCAAGAGCCATGTGATCTGGGACAACATGTGTGAGCTCTTAGGAAACTGAGCTAAGTATGTAAGGTCACAGCTGGTTAGCATCAGGCGAAGCAGGCACCTGCCTCTCACCTGGGGCCGGAGCGGCTGGGTCCTGTGCTGTCCGGTACCTGCCCAGGCTCTGCCGGAGCTCCTCTATCCTCCGGTCCTGCGGAGAGAACAGCGGCACCATGGCGGCCTCAGAGCACCAAAAGAACCTCACTCTTGGTTCTTTGGTGGCTCACTCTTGGTAGCTGAACACTATTTCCAAACATCAGCACAGCAGCAACTGCGCCTGTTCTGAGTGTGTTGCAGACACAGAAACAGCCACCCTGATCTCACAGGTTCTTTTACCCACCATATTTAAAACAAACTGACACAACAGCGCTTAACTAAAAAAGAAAAAAAAATCAAGGGCTGGGGAGACAGCTTGTGGGTGTGGAGAGCCAGCATGAAGCCTGATGACTTGTGTTTGATGTCAGTGGATAAAGCTCTGGTGTTCGGGTCCCAGCACCACACAGAAGCCAGCTGTGCCAACTGTACCCACAGCACACCAGGGAGTGGGGCAGAGGGGGCAGAGCTGGGTCCCAGAGCCTGCTGCCCAGCCAGCCAGGCGCCAGGGCCACTGACTTCTCAAGAGAATAGATGGAGGGAGATGTGGGAAGACGTGGGAAAGCCAACCTGACCTTGACTGTCAGCTTTCACACACAAGAACACGTATGCAACACACTCTCACACAAACATTCTCTCTCTTTACACATTTTCTCTCTTAAATACAGAATCTCTCTCTCATACACACACATCTCTCTCACACACACACACACATTCATTCTCACACACATTCTCTCTCACACACACAGAATGACACTGAGAGGGGAACAGCAAAGGTGTAAAAAAGAGAAGCGAGCCCTGGGGAGGCTGTGGTGAGGGAGCAGCTGTCTCTTGCACTCTGCAGCCCGTGACACAGGAGAGAGCATCCTGACGGTGCAAACTGACCCAGAGGTTTTAGGCAGCCACGATCAGGTGAGGTCACTGAAGAGGACACTGTCCAAGGGGGCAACAGCTCTGCTTCTAGCATGATGAAGGCCAAACACAGGTGAGCAAAAGCAAGAGCGCTAGTGAACAGGTGTTAGGCACTGAGGACAAAGGTGGGGCCAGGTCAGTTCTCAAGGAAGGCAGGCAATTCCAGGTGTAAAAGAGGTCAGGTGCATGGAGAAGACTCCAGTGTCACAGCGTGCACACACCTTCTCTCTCCGTGGCGCTGTGCCCTGCTGTGAAGCTGGAACTCACCCTTCTCATCAGCCTAGAATTGCCAGAACATACTATTTCTCCTCTCATCAGATATAAAGCTACGTTCAAAAGGGGACCCTGGGTTGCTGGCCTCTACTCTGTGCACACAGCCAGTCACACGTGCCACCACTGAGGCTGTGCACACTCGGGCAGGGAGACACAGGAAGGTCCCTGAATGTCAGCAGAGGCTGGTCCAGCCGAGGTCACACAAGGAACCTCGCAGAGCAGACAAAATGGTGCCGCAGAGCGTGAGCACAGCAGTAACAGTGAGGTTTTGTATGGTACCTTTTCTTCATTTGCTGCCATCAGAGACTCCACTGCCCTTTTCATTTTCTGTACTTCAACGTCTGAAAATGAGGCAACACTGTTAGAAGGAGCTCAGCCAACCTGAGAAGCCACTTACTCTTCTGCCTGAAAAGCTTTAAGGTCAACATGGCAATGATTCTTGTCTAGGGACAATGAAGATGAGCACTTTCTACCTCACCCACATGCCCGTCACAGACAGCAATGTGGGCAGAGAGAGACAGACAGACACCCTCTCAGGGGAACAGCAACTCTCCCTTTAAATGCTGAAGATGAAATGTGGGCACAGCAGCAATGACAGCACTGAGGTTTTCAAAAAGGAAGCTGTGGGCAGTGGGTGAGAGCAGTGGGCAATATTCACAGTGACCAAGGTGGAGGGATGTGCTCAGTCATCACGAGCTGGAGAGGCCACGGAGAGCCTGAGCCGAGTGGCGTTCACGAGAGCCATGCTGAGAAGCCAGCTGAGCTCCACAAAGGGACGAGCTTGCTCCATCTGCAGGCCTCATTTCTCACACCGTTTAGAACAAAACCAAGAGGGAGCAGCTACGGCGTATACAGTGAGACTTCCTTAACACCTGCTAACCTAACGCAGAGCTGTGTGCTTTAATAAAAAGAACACAACCCAACAGGGACCCACTGCTAAAATATGGAAACAGGGAAATTACTCAGCTAAAGTTACCTGCTTCTGAAGGGAAAAATATAGTAATTTTAAATTTGTTCACTGATACATTTTCAAGCAGAAATTGCTGAAGCTTATTGTTTGTTTGTTTGTTTGTTTGTTTGTTTGTTTGTTTCAAGCAAGTTCCCTTACCCCAATAATCCGCTCCTGTGGTCAATTAACAATTTATCTTTACATGGCATTAAGCGGCCCAGGCTCCACAAAGCTTCTAATGTCCCCTCAGCTAAGTAAGGAGTGTCTAAGTGGACAAGATGAAGCTTGCCACGAGCTCTGCCGACGTCTGGCACCGAAGCGCCTGTGCGGACTTCTCTCCTGGGCCTCTATCACCCGCCCCACAGAGACTGGGCTGCACGAAAAGCCTGTAAGGTGAGCTTTCCTCCTTGTTTCAGGTCTGTCTGCCTTGTCCACTGTGAAGAAATGAGGGCCCACTGATGAAGCAGCTGCAGTCCTGCTGACAGAAATGTCTTAAGCATGCAAAGAACAGGGTGGCTGCACTGGTGAACGAGAAGCCGATGAGTACACCAGAACCTTACTTTTCTCTTTGAGCTTCTTTTTAATATTTTCATCTGCACGGGAAAACCCATCGGATCGGAGGTTAGCACATATTACAAGAAAACACTATCTCAAGAGTCCTAGTATTTGGCTTCCTTTTACCTAATGCTGGGACTGGAATCCCACAGAGAACCCAGAACATGAAGCAGCCCACGTGACCCTGGGACTGGCAGTGAGCGCAGGGCTGGAGCCTCAGGAAGAGGCTGGGCAGTGAGCTGCACCATCTGACCCCCCGCCTTCTGCACCAACAGTTAGGCCTCAGGGCGAGCAAGCTCGGCGTGGACTGGCTGATGTCACTTGGCCGGCTCTTCCACACTGGTGTGACCCTGGCCCTCCTGACTACAGCCACATCCACTGAGCACGCAAGCCCACCATCACTGAGAGGGCCTGTCCCCCGTTCAAGGAGACAGGCCCTCTGCTGACCAGCCAGGAGCAGGAGCAGGCTGTGGTGAGGGTCTGAACCCCTGTGCCCAGGTCCTGAGCTGAGCTGGCCCTGTAGTGACAACAAGCAGCTCGACCGGCTCCAGTCCCCACCTTAGTCCCCACCTCTGTGTGGGCAGCACCGCAGACACACCTCCAGCCCACGTGCAGCCACTCAGTGGCCACTCCAGTTTTTTTAAATAATTTATTTAATTTTATTTTATGTGCATTGGTGTGAGGGTGTCAGGCCACCTGGAACTGCTTACAGACAGTTGTGAGCTGCCATGTGGGGGCTGGGAGTTGAACCTGGGTCCCTTCGAGGAGCAGACAGCGCTCTTAACCACTGAGCCATCTCGCCAGCCCTCCACTCCACTCTTAACTCTGAGGGTGAGATGGTATCATGGTTCAGGGCTACAGCATGTGATTAGCAGAGTCAGTCCTGAAGTTGTGGTCACTGCTGAATGCCCTATAATGTTATTTTACTTACGTTAAATCCACAGAAGAAAACATACTTCCCTAAGGACTGACAAACAGGCTTCTGATGGATAAGGAAATATAAAATGCTACTCGTTTGCATATTACACCACAAGGCTCCAGCAACTGGAATCTATCTATCTAGTGAGGCAGAAGTAGCTCTAGTGTCCCGTATCATGGCTGTCATTAGAATATATATACAAACACATGAACATATTTTCTAGCAGTGCCAGAATATAGCAATACCATATAATAAACATAAATAAATAAACTTTTACACATAGAATAAAAGTTGAGCGAGGGCTGGTGTCCAGCCTGTGGCCCTTCGGCTTCCATGTCCGCGTGCTAGAACTGCCACTGTGCACTGCTGTGTCAGACCCACATGTAAGCTTTCACCGACACATGTCACTGGACTTGCTTTCTGCTGCCCAATATGAGATCCTCTGCTGCATTGCACAGGAAGGACATCAGGTGCTGGACAGCCAGCCTTACCTCGATCAAGGGCTTCGATCCCCTCTCCTTTTGTCTTGCACACCAGTCTCTCCTGAAGCCTCTTTACTTCACACTCCTTCTCTTCCAGTTGCTCTTTTAAAGATGTCAATTCATCCTTCAAATTATAAATTCATTTTAAAATAATAGACTATAGAAGAAGAGGAATATTTATAGAGCAAATTAGCTCTTTGAAACAATACTTAGGACTGTGGGAATGAGACAAAAACCCACAAAAACTTACACACAAACACAAACTAGACAGAAGCAATGGTAAGCACTATTATTATAAGTAATGTATAATAATTACAGCGTAACTGTTTGAAGTTTGTCAGTACAGATAAGAAGAAACTGTTTGGAGTATAATGAGGACGGGGTAGTCTCTCAAGCTCCCCGTACATTAAATCAAAAGTCTCACCAAGTTAGTGTACAAAATTAGATACCTGTCATAAAAGCAAAACAAAATACAAATTCAGGAAGGTTTGCTCAGCTTCCTCAGAATGTCAAGGTTACACTCATGGTTCTGGGATAGCCACTAGGCTTCAGTAGCCTCAGACAGGCAATTTGGGGGTTACTGTGACCAAATCCTGGACTAGATAATTCACCCCTGTCACTAAGGCAGGCTCCTACAGCGATGGAAAGAGAGATCTGGAACTGGAGGATTTCAGTCTTCCTTTTGAAATGACGTACCTGCAAAAGCTTCCGAGGCCGCTGATGTTTGTGTTAGCATTTTAAATTTCAGCTTGGCTTTAGAAAGTACTAGCTTTAGCAAATTGCAGGCCGTGTCTGTCACAGTAGCTGGAGTTATGCAACAACAGACCACCTACTCAGTGCGGCACACACTCAGAATCTCCGTGCGGCTCTCTGTCTGCATACGAAGGGTTATGAAAAGTCCACCTAGGAGGCCCGCCCGGGCGGCCCTGCGCTCCTGACCTATGGTAAGGACACAGCTAAGTTCAACCCGCTCCCTGCAGGGCTTCTGAGCAGTGACCCCTGACCCCTGCATGATAGTGAGCACACACTGGCTTCCAGAAGCCTCAAGAGGACAGCAGGCTCTAGTTGATATGAAACGGAATCCTTCCACCAGTGAACTCTAACAATGATTTTATGATACTCGGGTCAGATGGTGTAAGAAATAAATTCATAAGCTATTGCTTTTCTATTTTACCTGTTCATTATTTACATTAGAGATGCCACTGTCCCTTTAATGAGGGTGTATGCATTGGTAGTGAACAGGTGACACACAATGAATACGCATGCTACTAAACACACCGTCACAGCAAAACGACACATGCCAGACGGCAACAGGCCACAGGGCTCCGCCAACGTCTACTCCACCTTCAGTGACTCCCATTTCTGTTCCAGCCGCTGCTTTTCATACTGCATCTGACCCACCTTGATTTTCATGCTAGAAAGTTTGGCCATTAAAGACTGGTAGAAAGACAGAGGAGTGAGAGAAAACGAGGCAGAAAAAGACAAGCTAAAAAACTAAGAAAACAGCATCAGTTCCTGAGGAAGGTTAGCTAACTCGGAAACGACAGTCTGTTCCTGGCAGATTAGTCAAGCCCTGGTTGGCTGAGAGCCCTAGCACGCAAGCTCAGCCCCTCCAGCCTGGAGAAACACCGTGTACTTGAGGTGTTTACCATTTTCCTTATAATATTGCTCATAGAATGACAGACCATGTTTAAAACTTATTTTTCTTCAACTTACTTTAGTTGACTTAAGTTTTTTCTCATACTGTAGTCTTTCACCATCCATTTCACTGACTTTTAACCTCAAATCATTGATCTCTTGTATCAGTCCCTGTTAAAAAAAAAAAAAATTAATTAGAAAAGTGTATAGCTTTCCAAAAGAGCAGCCAGAAAGCCCTAAGCCAGCTCCTGGGGTGTGAGTTAAGAGAACCAGTCCTAACAAAGGAAGATCCTGTAAAGTTTACCCCTAATGGCCAAAGCACACTTCCACTGAAATACTGACTTAAGTTTCCTGAACGTCCGCCCTCAAGTGCTTATGAAAACAAACCGTAGCTCTGACCCTGACTAGGAAAATGCTACGCTGGAACCCTTGGACCAGGAGCCCAGCATGGAGCTGGGAAGTCCTGGACCCTGTAAACAGTAGACCTTGCAGAGAGAGCCTTTGACCATTAGGAGCGTGTCCTTAAAGGGATCTGGGGACCCCCGCTCCTTGCCCTCTTGTCTGCTTCCTGGCCATGAGGTAAGCAGTCTTCTCACCATGCAATTCATGATAGTGTGCTGCTTCAACACAAGCGCAAAGCAACGAGGTCCCCAAGCAAGGACTATGGTCTCCACAACCGTGGCTAAAACAAATGTCTCTTTAGAAGCTGTCCTGGTGTTGGTGATGTGTCCTAGCCACCCACACAGTTCTGCATTGGTGTGGCCACAGAGCAACCTGACAGAGACCATTTACTCAGATGGGACTGTTGACTAATGACTCCAGGCTGTGTCAGGTTGACAGCAAACTTCGACATGACAGCAACGTGACCAACTCACAAAGGCAGTTTGATACTGATCTCAAAGCCACTCAGCACCCATCCTACACTAAAACTATTTCTGGGCCCCATCTTTCCACACAAACTAGGAATTTTCTCTGCCATAGTCATTACCTTAAGATCCTTTTCTGTGACACAATACAGTTATTTGAAGATTTCTATAATTTCTGCCTACAAAAATATCAACTTAGATTTCCTTAAACCAAGAATCTATCTCAACCTGAAGGTAGCTGGGGGTCTTATGTCCAGAATATACTCACATATCCAATTCAACAACATAATTTATATGTGCAAACATTTGAAAGTCCAAATGATTTCATAACAGAGTATTCTTTAATACCACTTCTACTGCCACTTTAAGAATGTAAAATTCGCCCAAATATTCTGAATCCAAATTAAAAAGTCGGTTTCCCTGGTTTGCTCAGCTTCCCAGGAGAGCTCAGGACCTTTCCTCCTTTTGTCTCTCCGGCTTTGCTATTGTTAACAGGCAGCTCTGAACTCCCAGCAGCCACTGCCACTTCCTGTACAGGGGTCATTTTACCTTTTTTTTTTTTAAGAAAACCTATCCAATTCTTTTTGGTGGCAATTCATTAAACATGAATCTAAAGTTCCCATCTGGGAGAAGCCAGATATGCCCAGAATAAGCCTGGCTGAAAAAATATGGAACTTTCTTTTTAATGAAAAAAAAAAAAATTTTTTTTTTAAATGTGGTATCAACTACTTCAATCACTACCTTTCATAGCTCATTTTCCGTGCTCACACCAGAAGGGGGCGCAGATCTCCAAAGTTTAAAGATTTCAAAGCACCAGCACCCTAGTTAACACCTACAGGTAAAGCCTGTGAAGTGTCCCTTACTTCAACACTTTTTGGGAAACCAACACCAAACTCTCACAGTTCTTGCAGAGTGTTGAGAGATTTGGGACTGCAGAACGGCTAGGTAAAGGTTTTATTTTTATGGGAACATTAAGCCAGAACACATACGTACTGCATTCTGTTTAACGTGTGAAGACTATTGTGATTACTTTAGCATAAAATCGCAATTACCAAATATTCTGTGACACACTCTGTAAATACGTGTGCTCCATCTTATCAGCAGTGTGGCTTATCTTACAGAAAACAATCAAGCATTGTGTTTCTTGGAGGTGTGTTCACAGAGTCACTTTACAAAAGGCAGGCAGAGCCGGGCGGTGGAGGTGCTGTTCCCAGTGCCACCAACACAGGCCGAGCGCCAGCCACAGCGGTCTGACTGGCTGGTTCACACCCAGATCACACTGAGCACAGTGCGCACGGTGAGAGGGAGCTCCGCCCGGCAGCCTCCTCACTCCCTTCTTGTCTGCCCTGCAGCCTCCTCACCCCCCATCTCCCCTGCAGCCTCCCACTCCACCACCCAAACAGTCTATCTGCTTAGGTTCAGAGTGAGGGAGGCCAGGGGATGACAAGATGATAAAAAGGGAAACATCTAAGCAGATTCTTGAGAGGACATTAGAGTAGAGTAATCCCAGCACTCAGGAGGCAGAGGCAGGTGGATCTCCGAGTTTGAGGTCAGCCTGGTCTACACAGTGAGTCTAGGACGGTCAGGGCTACACAGAGAAACCCTTTAGAAGAGAGCATTAAGACCTTTAAAGAGACTGCGTAGGGCCTGCGTTAAGGCCAGTCTTGACTAAAGGTGAGTGTGCTCAAAGTGACTGACAGGGAGTTTCAAGTCCAGAACAGGAATCAAGATGGTGATTTCTTTTTGCCCTTGGGAAGCGAACAAGCAAGGCTTCCCGCTGTGATTAGGCCTGGGACGGAAACTGTGTTGGGCATCACAGTGGGGTAAGTTACACCATCTGAAGCCCGGTGTTACATGGTGACGACACAGTCAATACGCACATATGTGACATGAGGACCGAAAAGGGAACAATGGCCTGCCCTCTCTCCTTCCTGGTCTCATTTTCCTGACCTAGGACACCGCCCACACCCTTAACCAGAACAGAAAAAACAGAGGGTGCTGAACCCTAGGAAGGAGTTTCTGAAGCTTGGTTTTGTTTTATTTCCCTTCACTTGTGGTGTCAGGGATCGAACCCAGGACCCCGTGTGTGCTGAGAACAAGGATTCTGCTGCTTAGCTCCGCCCTCAGCTCCGTGCTTCCTCCTAAATGAAGGTTTGAAATGGACAGACACCTCCTCAACCCTCAACCAGGCAGCAAATCAGAAACGCCACATTAATAACAGAAGGGGCATCTTTAGTCACAAGTGCTTGAAAGACTTTGTGTGTGTGACAGAGTGTGTGTGAAGAGTGTGTGTATGTACACTGTGTGTGTCTGTGTGCGCGTCTTTGCAGCAGCGGTTGTGAGCAGCCAACACGGGTGCTGGGAATGGACCTGCAGCCTTCTGCCAGGGCAGCAAGTGCTCTTAACTTCGGAGCGGCTGCACACCCTCCACGAGCGCCTCTCACTGACTACGTCACCCTGAACCTCCTAAGAGCACATGAATCTCAGCCAGTTGCAGTGACACGTACCTGTAACACCCTAAACGCAAAGAGCCAACAAAGTGACTCCAAATGCTGGGATTCTGTGAGCTAACAAATTCCCTCAGCATGTGGCAAGTGAGCAGCGGGCCTAAGTCAGGGCGACTGAGAGAACCACGACTTAAATGCATATGCTCACATCATGAAACCAGCGTGGTTTGTCAGCCAGCTGCCACAAACATCTTATAGTCAAAATCATTTCTACAAAACATTTCAAACAAACAAAATCTCAAAACAAAAACTGGAACTAGCATTTTTGTGAAGAAATTACTATGTGATTAAGGCTTATTCTGAGTTCTTTTTATTTATTGTCATTGGGTTTTTTGTTTTGTTCTGTTTGGGACGAAGGTGTCATGGTGTCCAGTCTACTCTCAAATTCGCTATGTGATGGAGGCTGGCTTTGAACCCCAGATCCTCTGCTGCCATCTTTCAAGTGTGGGATTACAGGCACATACCACCATGCCTGGCTTCTGCTGCCTCTGGAGAGGTGCTCAGGGCAAAACCTAAGGTCCAGTGAGCCCTGAGCGTCTTTTAAAAGGAGACAGGACGAGAGCATACATTAACTAAGCACCTTTCCTTCACACCTCCAGGGGTTTCCATTTTGGCGCCTGTGTGCACACGTGTGTGCGTGCGTGCGTGCGTAAGGGTTACAGAGGAGAAGAAGGGAAGGGGAGAGGGAAGAGAGCAAGCGCACACACACTCACCTCTGTGTCTCTGAACCTGTCTTCATAATCCAGTCTGTCCTTCTCTACAGCCGTCAGTTTCAGCTTCAGATTAGAGACCTCGGCCATCAGCTCCAGCTTCTGTGTTTCTAAGGATGTCCGACTCAGAAGCTCCTGTCAGAATTGCACATATATTCACATGTCTTCCTGTGAGTTCTGTCGTGACTGCAGACAGCCACGGTTAAGGGCGGGCTTCGGGTGAAGAGCAATGGCCACGCTGTTCAGACTCACCCCACTAGCAAGCCTGACTGAGCAGAACTACACTGAGCAGCAGGTGGGGGGGGGGAGATGAACTTGACCTTGCAGACTTTTTTTAAATTAAGATTTATTTATGTATTACTTCTATACAGCATTTTGCCTGAACACCAAAAGAGGGCACCAGATCTCACTATAGATGGTTGTGAGCCACCATGTGGGTGCTGGGACTTGAACTCAGGACTTCTGGCAGAGCAGCCAGTGCTCTTAACCTCTGAGCCGCCTCTCTGGCCCTCCTGCGGCCTCTTAAGCCTGCTGACAACATGGATGACGCTGTGCATACGGCCTGGTATACGCCAGGGACTGGGAGAAGTGACCCTACGTCAAGCCCCTGCAACAACCTCACGAGGAACAGCAGCTCAGTCTGGTTCATCAACATGTAGGACAGGGGGCTCCACAGCCTGTCCAGTCCCACAGGCACCTACAAGCCCCTGTGCACCCACAAACATGCCTGTGTGAGTTCTAAGAGTCTGATATGGTGCTTATCACCTCACAGAAATAACAGGCGCTTAAAAGTTCAACTCATCATCCCCACAATACTGTCTCCTACTCCAGCCTCACAACTTTCTCTGTGTCTGAGTCTGGTCCAGACTCTATAAATACAAGAGGCTGTGGGCTGTGGACAGTACTGCTGAAGACACAGGGCAGGCCCACTGCTGCAGGCTCCGGCCCCTACCTGCTGCAGCATTTCCTCAGTGGCATTCAGCTTCTCTCTGTGCTCCTCAAGACAGAACTCCAAGTCTCGGATCTTCTCTCCCTGGGCCTCCACCTGGTCGGTCAGCACGCTCACCTGATAATTTAACACAAACACTCAATGACTCGGAGGCTCGAGGTGACGCAGGCTCAGCCCCGTCACCCAGGGAAGGATGGCAGCAGGCCTGCTCGCTGCGTTTGTATTTTGCTCTGTGTGGATGGAACCCGGGGCTTGTGCAGGCCAGGCTAGGGCCACACCCCCGCCCTCTGCTGCCGTGTGGCCCAAGGAGCCCTTTACAGTTCAGGAGAAACGTGGTGCTTCTCTATGAGACCTACAAGACTTTACACGTTAAAGTCATTCCAGCTTTACTTCCAAGGCCATGGTGAGGGCCTGGTCTGAGAGGGCAGCAGAGAGTCAGGTTGTATTGGAACCAGATGTTAAAGACCACGCAGATTTCACACTAAAAGGGGCAACAGTCAATAAAGAGCACAAATTCTACACGGCCTTTCAAGACCAACAAGGTCACCAGTGTGTTCAAAGCAAGGGCATGGGAACGGGGCAGAGTGCATTTAGCATGTGTTGGCCCGAGTGCAGTTCCCAGCACCAAAGAGGAAAAAGAGAAAGCCAGCATGAACTGCAAAACACTTCAGCATCCCAAGAAACAGTGGGGCTCCCCCTTCAGCCCCAGGCTCCCCGCAGACCCACCAATCTGTCCTCAGCGGTCCCCAGCTGAGCAAACACACTCTGGCTGAGTTAGCTCAAAACACAATGGTCAAGACATCTGCTCTGTACTCAAAAACACCACGAGCAAGCAAACTCGGGTGCCCCAGGGTAGTTTCCAACAGCAGGCTCCCCTCGGACGCCTTGTTTGGTCAATTAATACATGCTCAGACCAAGGCTCTACACTACAGGTATTCACAGACCTGACGGCAGGTGACACAGAAGGTCACTTGGGTGGCCCTGAGCCAAGCACCTGCCCCCGAGGATGGGGTGGCACGCCCTCGGCCCCCACAGCCAGCCCTGCACACTCCCTGTACCCACGGCTGGCCTGGCATATACTTCTTGTTCAGGAGATAGGGTCTTACACTGCAGCTCAGGCTGGCCTCAAACTCGTGGCAATCCTTCTGCTCAGCCTCCTAAGTGCTGGGGTTATAGACACTGACACCACAGCTACCTTCTCTTCACTGTGTCATTCCTGTCGGTAGCTGGCTGGGCAGCTGCACACTGGTGAATTATTTCACTTTCGACACTCTGCGACGGGGCCAGTCAGGAATCCCTGCAGATATGGCGTCTGCACGCTGTGGTCCCTGCGTGGCACAGCGGCTGTTCGCACAGCCTGCCCCTCCTCCCTACACTCCCAGCGGGGCCCCCAGTACGATGTGAATGCACACGAACAGCTGGCATGCTGCTGAGGTGTGTTTACTGTGGGTGCAGCGTGCTCCACACACGCGTGGCCTAAGTTTGCAAGTACACCACATGGGTACTGAAGCAGCACTTGCCTGAAGCACAAGGGACTCCTTGTCGTTCTCCAACCGCGCCAGCCTCTCCTGGTACACGTCGCCATGCCCGGCCAGGTGCCCATTGGTCTGAACAGGGAAAGAACACAGGAAAGGTGAACGCTCCTTCAGGACTGCTATGCCGTGACACAGTAAAAGTTATGTGTGCTGAACTCAGAGCGCCTGACTGAAACTCCGCACAGCCGCCACTTCCATGAACGAAAAACGAACAACTAAATGACAGCAGACCTGGCAGGCCCTGTGAGCACTCACACAGTTGAGCATCTAGACACAACTGACTGGGCACACCAGCTCCAAGCACACACAGAACCAGTTCCCTGCCTTGGTGGTAAATGTCCCCATCTATCCCTGCATGATCCCTGCTGTGGTGAAACCCTGACTGAAACCAACCTGGAGGAGAGGGCTTCTCTTAAATGCCAGTCCACCAAAGGGCGACCAGGGCAGGACCTGAGCCTCGGTCTTGGAGGAGGGAGCCCTACTACCTCGCCCTTCCCACTAGGCCTGCTATCTCAGCCAACCCAACACTACCTGCCCGGAAATGTCCCACCCCTAGAGGGCTGACCGGGCACATAATCAGGAATTAAGACTACGCCCTACATGCCTGTCTCCAAGTTGATACGATGACCAGACCTTTTCTTCCCAAATGATTCTACCTTGTGTCAAGTTCACCAAAAGCTAACCAGCACAGACTGAACAGCCTGAAGCAAGCAAAGCTAGCACCCAGGAGAAGACACTATCCACCTCCCTTGAACTGTCACTAATCGAGGTATAGAAAAAAGAATGCCCTGTGATGTCCCCAGTTCCAGCCATACCATCCTCAGGTGCACACAGGACGCCAACGCCCAGTCATGGAGTAGACAGAGCAGCAACCAGGCTTCTTCCTGGCCCCTCAGCACTCCAAGACACGACAAGCTTCCCAAGTCTAAAAAGCCTGCAGAAGCCTGTCTCTCACCACTGAAGCTTACACACTCCTGGTGGCACTGACTGGCCTATCAGCTTGGCAGTCCTTTCCCATCTTGGCTTCACCAACTCTTACACACTTATTCATCTGTACATTAAGATCGGCTCCTAGGCAAACCCGGGCATCAGCTTGTACCTTCCTGGAGTCCGGCTCAGAGCCCTCCACGTAGACCAGGCTGGCCTCAAACTCATGAAGATTTCTTCCCTCACCCCTTAGCTGAGGGGATTAAATGTGTGTGCACCACTGTGTCTGCGTTTTTCATTTATTTTTTTCATATCCAAGTCCTGAAAAGCACACTTGAAAAGTCTCACAGAGACTAAAACACATAAAACCATCACTCTGAGACACAGTAATACATACGACACCCCCTTTTCCTCCTGCCTTCCTTCTCCAGGATGACACTGTGTAGCCCAGGAATGATGGTCCTGTGTCAGCCTCCTGTGATTACAGACCTGAGCCCCTGTGCCCAGACCGTGATGTGTAAGTTACTTACAGGTTCATAGCCACAAAATGTGCTCTATCCACAAGATCCCTGAACATCCCTTTAACCACAGCAGGGACAAAAGCCAGAGCAATCCAAAATGGACAGGCTGTGGCATCCAGAACTGAGAACAACCCCTTCAGAGAACCAGGAGAAAACGAAAGCCACAAGCCGTGCACTCTTGTGCACAGGGCTCATGTGCTGTGGCCCCCATGATTTCTCTGAATTAACCTGCATCTATTCCACCTCCCCAGATTCCTATTTCAGTTCTAGGAGTGCCAAATGTTGTAAGTTGAAAACAAAACAAAATGGGAGAAGGAAGAGAGGGAGGAAGAAGTGGGAAGGAGGAGGAAGAAAAAAGAAAGACAAGATTAAATGTGCAGTGTTCCTTCTGAAGATGCTGGCAGTTCCCAAGAGGCCACAGAACACTCAGAAGCTAACTTGGCAAGTGCGTGGCGCAGCTTTAGAGAGGGTGTAATGTTAACATCAGTTCTCGACAACATACCTGCACACTCCGGTCACGCTGTTAACTCAAGTGCCCAGAATTAACTCAAGAGTCCATGGAGCAGTGGGAATGACATGCATCCCCTGGGGCCATGACAAGGAAATGTTCCCGCCTCCCTGAGGACAGCCTTCTGGAGGACAGCCAGGACACACAGTGTATGTCTTGAGCACAGAGGCAGAGCCTGGACAGCTTTCAGTTTCTAGTTCTGACTGTGCGCCTCACGGGGCACCTGCTTTTAAAAGTCCTATGCAAGTAATGTTTTATGAACACACTTCATTAGGCTAAAGATGCCGTATGTTCAGTGCAAGAGGTCCAACTTTCTCTTCTGTCTCTCCTTAAGAGATGGAGTAGGTAGAGTTCCTGATGTTGACCAGGCAACAAACATCTGGGCTCAAGCAAGTCTCCTGCCTCAGCATCCCATGTGCCACTGAGTCAAAACAGAAAGTTTCCATCCATTTTCCCTCCTGTGGTTCTGGATGGGGTTTGAACTCAGGGCTTCACAGGGAAGACGAGCTCACCACAGGGAGGAAGCGCTCACCACAGGAAGAAGAGCTCACC